CCCACCACCCCACCCACCACCACCACCCCCACCACCACCACCACCACCACCTCCACCACCCACCACCACCACCACCACCTCCACCACCACCCCCACCTCCACCACCACCCCACCACCCAAAACCCCCCCACCCCCCACCTCCACCTCCCCCACCACCACCACCCCCCACCACCACCACCACCACCACCACCACCCCCACACCACCACCACCACACCACCACCACCACCCCCACCACCACCCACCACCACCACCCCCCACCACCACCACTCCCCACCCCACCACCCCCACCACCACCTCCACCACCCCACCCCCTCCCACCACCACCCCCAACCACACCCACCACCACCACCACCACCTCCCCCTCCACCACCACCACCACCCCACCACCCCACCACCACCACCACCCCACCACCCCCACCACACCACCACCACCCCCCCACCTCCCCCACCACCACCACCACCACCACCACCACCACCACCCACCACCACCACCACCACCACCACCACCAACCACCACCACCACCACCACCCCCCCCACCACCACCCCCACCACCACCACCACCCCCCACCACCACCACCACCACCACCCCCAAACCCCACCACCACCCGGGGATCCCACCCACAATATGACAACCCCAGGCACTTATTTACTGCTGGGGGAACAGGGCCACCAGATGTGGGAGGCTTCCCCATATGTCTTTTCCTGGGGACGAACCTAGTTCTCCCTCCCTCTCTCTCTCCTCTCTCTCTTCTCTCCTCTCCTAGAGAGAGAGAGAGAAAAGGAGTAGGAGCACTCCCCAAAGGCTCAAGATAACTTAAAGAAAAGGAATACGAGTTAGCTTTGGGGTTTTGAAGCCATTGCCTGTACGAGGTTCATTAAAGCCGTATCACCCTAAAATAAAAAATTAAATAGCGCGTTTTTATACTCTGAAAGTTACAAAGTATAAGCCCCCAAACGCCCCCACCCTCACCCCCCACGCCCTCGCCCCCACCCCTGGAACGAGGAGGGCGAGGCGGGGAAAACGGAGAACAACATTACCATAATAAGTCAGGGTGTTATTACAGTAATGGCCCCCAGTGTTGTAGGAAAAAATAAACCCCCTCTGATAAAGGGGGGGAGGGAGGGGGGGAGGGAGAGAGGGGAAAAGGGAGAGAGGGAGGAGGGAGAGACGGAGAGAGGGGGAGAGGGGGAGAGAAGAGAGGAATATAAAACAGGAGAGAGAGGTCATTGTGCACCTATTTATTTACTTAGATGAGATTTGACTGTAATTCTCCTATGATCCTTTGGGAATTAAGAAAGGCCTGAATGGAAAAGCAAAAGGGAAAGGCCTGAGATGGGAAAAATTCTTTTAAAAAGAAAAGGCTCTGAGGGGAAAAGTTCTAAGAAGGGAAAGGCTCGAGATGGGGGAAAAGTTTTTTTAAGAAAAAAAGGCTCTGGAAAGGAAAAATTCTAAGAAGGAAAGGGCCCGAGAAAAGGGGAAAAATTCTAAAAAGGAAAAGGGTCTGAGAAATTCTAAGAAAATCTTTAAGGAGAAGTCTAAGAAGAAGCTTTTGGATTGAGAAGCCTTTAAAAAGATACGCTCTGAAAAAGAGAAGTTCAAAGAAGAAAATTTAAAAAAAGAGTTTTTAAAAAAATGAAAATTTCCAAAAAAACAAGTTCTACGAAATTTAAAAAGTTTTTAAAAAGCTTTCAAAAGGGAACTTTAAATTTAAATTTCCTCACTTTCCATTCTCTTTGGTGGAAAACAGCCTGGGTTTAGATGTATAAGATAAAACTTCACATTTTTAACTGCCCCTCCCTCTCTCTCTCTCTCTCTTCTCCTCCTCTCTCCCCCTCCCCTCTCTTTTCACACATAAACCCCACATACACAAGACAAGGGTCACAACTAGAACTGAATAACCCGAGGGGGCCCCGGGATTTTTTGGAAGTATTTCTTCAGTCATAGAGCGTAAGTGGGAAAAATCTGGGAAGTGATGTAGTAGAGGCGGATCCATACACGCTTGGAAAGATACATTAGCACAGAAAGTGGGCCGCTTTTAAAAACACAGAAATCGAGCCCCAACCTCTCTGACCAATAAAGCACAAGTACTAATGATCGACCACCACAACCTCGATATTCCAAACATAAGCGGATCAGGGCTAACGCAATTAAAAAAGATAGAGATTAATACCTGCCTCATCTCATTACAGCTTCACACCGACAGAAAATTTGGAATTTGGCCTTTCCACGAACAAAACATTTCCCTTTTTAAGTAATGGTGGTTGGGCTTGCCTAGAGTAAAGTACCCACGTTTCCGGGAATTTGAGGGGTAAAAATCCCCGGGAAAATAAAAAAAACCATCGATGAGATTAAACCAACTGGGAAAACCCCACATCAACTAGAGTTTCGAAAAAGCGAAATCGTAATGGTTACCAAACCTGAAGATGCTTTTCCCGGGGGCCATGGATAAAAAAAAACTTAATAAAAATTAGCAAGTCAATTTCGAAATGGTGAACGCTAATGAAAAATACAAAAGGAGCAAAAAAAATAATAGACGACAACCAAGATTTAAAACGCCGTAGAGTTTGAAATTGAAAGTAAAAATTTTCAAATTAAGTCTAGACATTCTAGTCCCGAGGAGACAAAAAAAGATCAACAAAATCGATCAAACCAACAAATTACCAACGAATCGCAAAAAAAAACAAAATATCATGATCAAATGCTTGATAATGCAATGGTAGAGTAACTTGGAGTTTGTAAATACCTGATGGATGGTGTTTTTTAAGTTATAACCCTAGGAGTGTCTTTTTGCAAAAATCGATTTTTAAAAATGAAAGTAATATTTAACAGTCGATAAAAGACATTGAGCATCAAACGACTAGAATCTCTAATTTATTTGAATATTCAAATTAATGGGGAGCCAGTGACTCGCAATGCCAATCGATTTAGGAAAACATGAAATCCCCTACAAAAATAACCCCCACTAGGGAAAAGAAATTATGGGGACGTTTTTGGTCCGACTTGGGAGGTTTAAATTTTGGGCCCAACAGGACCGAAATATGACAATTTTTCATCCTATGAGCCGTATTTGTGTACGTTCCAGCACAAGTTTTCGTGACTTTGTGTTCTTTAAAGTATCCCTAAAGGGGGTACCTATGGTGGTTATGTAGCTAACTACTGCAGACAACAGCTTAGGTAGCTTTTCAGTTTCCCGTGCCAAAGTTTACGAAGCAATAGCGCAGTTCAGGTCCACATTTATCTTTTGGTAATGTGCACATTCACGTTAATGCAAAATTTTAATTCTATTTGAAAGAGCGAGAAAATTCATTATCTAAATTATCGATAATTATACAAAAATTAATCCCGTGAGAGAGCATTACGTAATAACTAGCAATTGTCAATTTAATTAGGCATCTGTAATGTATATGCTATTGAATTATAAATAATGAACGCCCCAGGCGTGGATATGATAAATGGACTCCTAGCTGTGATTTATCAATGTGGTTTATAAGGTTCATCACTCCTGTTTTGGGCCATGGTCTGGGGTAGTTTTTTGGCTGATGTTTTGTCTGTGGATGTGGTACGCTGTGGGTATCACTTGCCAAAGCTGTTTTTAGTTTTTAGTGTGTAACGGCAATCTGTAGTACGTTCTGTGACTGTAAGGTGATTATACGGCTGATTTGTTAAAGTTCCTTCAGACTTAACAAGGGTTAACAAGGTTGCATTTCCCCTGTACACTACTAATGAAGAACACCTCGAGGTCGTGTGTTCATACATCTACAGTGTATTCGCTCGTCCCAAGTTCCTTTCCCAATTTTTATATTTACAAGTCGTGTGTAAGGTATACAGTCCTGGCTGACATCAGTGATATACTACTATACAGAAAGCCTTTTGTTATGCAGAACATTTCGAGGAAATTAGGTCAATTTTGCCCCGGGATACGACCCACAGAAATCAACTAACACCCAGGTACCTATTTTACTGATAGGTGAACATGGACAGTAGATGTGAGAAATTGTGGGTAAATTTTACAAAGTCTTAAATTAACATTTAACCCCCATAACTGTGAAGAAATTTTGGTACATCAAACAATTTACACTACGTCTCAGGACGGCCACCCAGATAGTACTCCAGATTCAGATTTTCTTTATATGACCTCTTCCCTGGGGAGAGGTCATGTTCATTGCCCTGAACATTGGTATATCCAGGGACCCAGCAAAATACGACTCTTTTTGCGATTACTAGAAATACGGCACAGCCAGAGTCGTATACGAAGAGCGATGAGATGAGAGGTGAGCCGAATTTCTGAAGTCCGGGACAAAAATAATAGGAATGACGAGGCGGACATGGTCGCCATGCTCGCGATAACCTGGGAATAGCATACAACGTCCGCTATAAATAACCAAGCTGACTCTATTAAATATCCTCTGGTGATTCGTTCATGAATATTATATATTGTTATAATCATGGGTGGGCGCTAAACCCGTAGGATTATACAGCGCACGTGGGGGAGGGATGGAAGGTATTCAGGCTCAATTCAGGGAACCGGAGCACAGATCCAATTCCCTAGATCAAGAGCCCCTCACCAGCTTCAAGGAACCTCCCTTGAGGGGTCGTTCATGAATAACTGCATACCAGACAGCAAACAAATTCCATTATTATACACTGCTATTAGCTGAAAACCCCTTAGCATGTGTTCATACATTTTTATGCTTTTTTAAGTTCATTCTCATAAATGCTCTTCCCTTTGAGGAACCCATTACTCTCTTAAATAAATAACATTGGTGTCTTGTCCAGTGTTGTGCTATGTCAGTGGTAATACAAGGGTACAGCGCTTTGTGAGTGGTAATACAATGGTAGAGGGTTGTGTAAGTTATAATACAATGACTGCTGTGCATGTACAGTAAGCAGTAATACACTGGCAGAGTGCTGTATTAATTTTGGCTTGAAGGTTCAACAGCAGCTTCGAACACTTTGATCCCGGGTTCAAGACATCTCTTGTTATACAACTTCAGCTTGTCGACACAGTTGTCACAGACGCACAGTGCTGGTCAAGGGTGTGTATCGTAAGTGCGTGTCTGTGTTTATACAGAGAACTGCGTACCATTCTTTTATATACAAAACTGTGTATCAGTATTTATACACAGAGTTTTGAATCATTGTTTATACGTAGAGCCGCGAATCAGTGTTTATACACAGGGTTATATATTAGCGTTTATACACAGGGTTGTTCATGAGCATCAGACACGGTGTCACAGGACTCGGGAAGTGTTACCATAATAGATATATTTTAATTCTAATTCTTTCCCACCAATCTCTGAACAATGAAGCGACTCTTGCGTCGGGGACTGACTGGTGGACCTGGCAACATTTAATTCGCTTGACCTACCTGCTTATCTCTCTCTCTCTCTCTCTCTCTCTCTCTCTCTCTCTCTCTCTCTCTCTCTCTCTCTCTCTCTCTCCTACATATTCCTGACAGCGCTGTGTAACCCTTGTGGGTTTAGCGCTTATGATAATAGTAATACATATTCTTTGTTTCATGCTCTGTACTGAATCTTGCTGCTGCTTATTATTATTATTATTATTATTATTAAACTACACAAAGAACTCTCACTTTGGAGAGAGAAACTTGACAATGTTTCGGCCCGACTTTTGGTATCATTTTCTTTTATATTTTATTTAAAACTTCATGTACAAATATATATAGGTACATATATCAATATGTAACATTGACACTGGTGATGAGCGATATACATTCACTACACAATATACTAAATAAGCGCATACATAAGGACATGAAAATAAACTTAAGAACAGAATGTTTCTACGTACGTTATTTCACAAGTACACAAGGGTTCATAGATATAACAGAACCTACACATTATTGCTTACATTCCCCCCCCCCAATGAATACATTCCACATTCCCTTGTTCACTTAAAATTCAAAATTGACTTGAACAAGGACAACATCAGTAATGCAATATATAAATACAAAACAATCCCGGCAACATCTGACACTATACTATATACAAATTTTTAAAACATATCACAATTCTTGAAGGAATAAAGGTATAATAAAGGCCACAAAATTGCTATAAACAATACTCCTAAATTACGACCTCACTGAAAAATAGCAATACATAAAGCAAAATCTTACAACAAAACGTCTCAAAACTACCAGTAACAGAGTACTAACCTATCATATATAACTTTAAAACAACATTAACATACCCATATGTACTCGAGCCTAACATTTAACAAAGGCTCAAAACGATATATAAAGAATGACACAAAAGAAAAACCTGATTTCACAAAAAAAAGAAAACCCATGCGTATGCATACATGTACACAAACAAAACAGTATATAAAAATATTTTAATCTACGAAAATTAAACGCATATTATGACCCCCATAATCGATAATAAACATAACCAATTACATATACCATTAAAAGTATATGACTCAAGAATCGGGTCATTACAAGACAGGAACACCTCCAAATACATGACAAAACCTTCGGGGTTTCACTTTCATTCATTACACAAAAGTAACTAAGTATCAACGAGCTCTCAAAGCTCCACAACCACACATCCATGACAACCAGGAAACACAATCCATACCAACATTCACCACACTGTGAGAGTAAGACACATGTGCAACATCTGGGTATCTTTATTGTAGACGTTTCGCCATCCAGTGGCTTTATCAATACAAATTCTAGGACATAACTTGAAGACAGTAGAACTATGTACAGAAGATGAGGTAATCAGTCCCTCAACCTAGGAGTAGGTGCGAACAGCACCATAGTCGTGGAGATTCTGAAGCAGAAGAAAGAATCCTGGCGCTTAAATAGTAACGTCAGGTGAAGCAGACGAGGGCAAATTCACTGGTAGGCGGGATTCCCCAGTGGAAGTAGGTCCTTCCCAAAGAGGTGGGCTAGTTGTAGTAGTAGTTGTCGTAGTCGTGAAGGTTATGTACATCTCCACGACTATGGTGCTCTTCGCACCTAGGAGTAGGTTGAGGGACTGATTACCTCATCTTCTGTACATAGTTCTACTGTCTTCAAGTTATGTCCTAGAATTTGTATTGATAAAGCCACTGGATGGCGAAACGTCTACAATAAAGATACCCAGATGTTGCACATGTGTCTTACTCTCATCTTGTCGGTATTATATACCATTCGTACACATTCACCACACTCTCATACCCCCCCCCCCCCTCCCAGGAGACGAGCCCGCTATTGCCCACTGACTTACACTCAGCCAATTTAAATTCCATAAATAAAAAGCTTACCCTTCGTACATTCATATTCATTCACAGATTCACGAGGATTTCTAATGTTAGCCTCCTATATCCTTCCGAAAATACCTGATCCCACCTCTTCCCGTACAACTCCCGGTTACGACACATAGTACGATAAAACGTTATCGCAAGAACGCGCCTTCGCACCTCACTAACCCCTTTTTGGTACGATTAGTCAGCGGTTGAGATCGGAGGGAAACGTCGTCGTAAGTGTCTCCTAACTGCCGGTGTTTAGTGTATATTGTTCTAGCCACAGTACTGTGACTTTTTCATTCATCACTCTTAATACCATTACTAATATTACTGTTAATACTACTACTACTACTACTACTACTGCTACTACTACTACTGCTATATTACACTAACATAAACACCGTTACTATGACCTCCTCATTTATCTCCGCCTCCTGTCACATTGCATTAGGAAATGGTTATAATTATAACCTTTAATTTTTAAAGGGGTGGACCGGTAAGCCAGGGTAAGGCCTCGGTCAGATGACCAAAAGCTTCAGCTGTGAGTCATCATATGACTAAAACCCGCGTCAGGCAACACTTGTCCTGTTTCCTGACAAACCTTACCTAACCTAACCTGTTACATTGTAGTATTTATTTCCTGATAAAGCTCCTGGCTATCGAAAAATAGCCATAACACTCAATTTTTTTTTTCTAACTGCCAATAATCGCTCAGAATTAAACCAAATTTGAAACACTGCGAGTGAGGTTGGTATTATCCCACATGGAAGAACTGCAGCTAAACCAAGACGATGACCTGTATGGATTGTTGTCCATAGCTGTCTCCTTCCACTCTCTCAATGATGTGCTGCTGGACTGGAGTGAGAGCGGGAAAGACGTTTCTCATCTAAATACTGACCAGCCTCCACTTCGAAATGTATTGCATCCTATGGAAGGTGAGAGTGAGACTGTGTTGCTGCTGCCTTCAAGAGGAGACACTTGCCTTAAGGGCCAGGATGAGGAAGCTTTCTCTTCACAGTTCATCCATGAGAATAATGAGTTTCGAGATACAGGTAAGGCAAATCGTACTTTTATCAAGGAGTTTTGAGAAATATTTCAAGTCTCTATAAACGTTTTGCTATTATTTAATATAATATAAAATATATATATATATATATAATATATATATTATATATATATATATATATATATATATATATATATATATTTTATAAATTTGATATGTAAGCATTAACAATTTCATTTTAACTATCAATAAGATCCTAAAGCTGGCGAAGCAGAAGCGGGTCAGGAGTGGATAGGTATGGAAACTTATCCACGGGAAGAGAATCCTGCCCTGAAGGAGGACAAATACTACTATCCTACACCCTTCCCCATCTCACCACCTGAAATCGGTTCTGCTACCACCTGCGAACCTAACCCTCATCGTCCGGTGCCCCCCATTCCAGCACCTGGATCATCTGTAGCTCACTCCACCTGGAAACCCTACTATGAACCTGTTGCTGCCATCTGGCCATCAAATCATGAACCTAAGTATTTCAACAAGTTCTCCACACAAGAACAATGTGACAGAGGTGCTTATAAAAACTGCATTAATAATGACCATCAGGAACTTACTTCCTTGCAAGTTCCAGCTGTAACCAATTTCACAGATAAGTCTTCGGCTCTGTTAATGAATTCAGTCACGAGTTCAACCACAAAGCAAATGAAGCCTTTTACTTGGAAACCTTCCCGACCAGAAGTTTCTAAGAGTCCAAGTGGTGAGTCTAGAACATGTCATAATCAAAGTAAGGAGAAGAAATATGAAGATTTGGTACTCTCGGCGGAGTCATTGAATTATGAGTGCGGCTTGTGTCATCTGCGGACACGTACTCTCCGGGGTCTAAAGATGCATATGTTATACCACAAGGTGCAGGGACCAGCTGTCTGTGTCATTTGTGGTGAGGTCACAGGGGATGTGTTTACACTTGGTATTCATGTTGGTACTCACCCAGGCGGGCATGACAGACTCCTTAGGGAACGCCTGCTTCCAAAACGGAACGAAAAAAGGCTCTTCGTCTGCCACATCTGCGACAAGACCTATTACAAAATCAGACTTTTTAAAGAGCATATCAGGAAACATACAGGAGAAATGCCATTTCAGTGTAATTTTTGCGGCAAAAAATTTCGTGTTACTAATTACTACAATATACACCTGAAAAAACATCATACATAATGCTGGGAAAATGACGATTTAAATGGTAAGCAGAAGTAATACAATAAGGGTGTGTGTGTGTGTGTGTAATGTCTCAGACTTTTTTTGTTTAGTCTTTTGACTGTCTCTTACCAACACTCGCATGTTCGTGACGGTCAAGTGGCTTTTGTTAGAAACCGTAACACAATGTAGATGAATTTTAAAGAAGTTACAGCGTAACTTTGAGTTTTATCAATAAATGTTTTAATGATGACTTGACATAAGACAAAAACAAAAGTAATGTGGTTTAAATTAATCCTCTTAAATATGTTATAAAACAAGAACAAATTACTGGGAGTTAAGGAAATAATACTTTTTAACTGACAGGCATTTCCGTGTTCGGGTTAATAATGTGCTCTCCCCGGACTTTATCCAAGCTGAAGGTGTCCCCCAGGGATGTGTTCTGAGCACAACACTTCTCCTTGCTATTAATGATTTGGCCTCTAGTCTTCCATCAAATATTTGGTCATCACTCTATGTTGATGACTTCGCTATTGCCTGTGCAGGCGCTGACTGTCACCTCATTACAGTTTCTCTCCAGCATGCAGTCGACCGTGTTTCCAATTGGGCCACCACACGTGGGTTTAAATTTTCCAGCACTGAAACCCACCAAATTACTTTCACTAGACGCTCTGTCATCTCAGATCATCCTTTGTACCTCTATGGCTCCCGTATCCCTGAACGTGATAGTCAAGTTTCTGGGCCTCCTCTTTGATCGTAGGTTATCCTGGAAACCTCACATTACCTCTCTGAAGGCAACTGGTCACAGCCGGCTGAACCTTCTTAAAACCCTTGCTCATCTTTCATGGGGAGCTGATCGTCGAACCCTCCTTCTCCTACATTCCACCCTTATTTTATCGAAACTTGATTATGGTGACCAGATCTATTCAGCGGCATCTCCTGCTACTCTCTCTAGCCTTAACCCCATTCATCACCAAGGATTACGTTTGTGCCTTGGTGCTTTTCGCTCTTCCCCTGTCGAGAGCCTCTATGCAGAAGCGAACGTTCCATCCTTATCCGATAGAATGGTCACTGATATTAGTAGACATTCTTTATTTGTTCGCCGCCCCTGTTTACTCCGTCCCTTCTCTCTTCGCCTTCATTCGCTCTTGTCTTCTCTTCAACTACCACCTTTCTATGTACATGTAGCATCTCGCTTTTCCCTACCCCCCTGGGAAGTTCCAGCTGTTCGAGTCTGTTCTTTCTCCCTCCCTTGCTCGAAAGCCCAACTGTCTACGGTCGCTTCCCGCTCTCTTTTTCTTGACCACTTTCACTCTCATTCTCATGCCATTGCTGTGTACACAGATGGCTCTAAGTCTTCTGACGGCGTAGGATTCGCAGCAGTGTTTCCGGACAGCGTCGTACGAGGGCATTTACTGTCTTCGGCTAGTATTTTTACTGCTGAATTATATGCCATCCTTACAGCACTTATCCGTATTGCATCTATGCCTGTGTCATCATTTGTGTTGTCTCAGACTCCCTTAGTGCTTTACAGGCTATACAAAAATTTGATACACCTCACCCCTTAGTCCTCCGTATCCAACTTTGGCTACGCCGCATCTTTACCAAGCATAAAGATATTGTTTTTTGTTGGGTCCCTGGTCATGTTGACGTACAGGGCAATGAACAGGCAGACTGCTGCGCGGTCAGCAGTACATGACCTACCAGTTTCTTAGAGGTATTCCATTTACGGACTATTTTGCTGCAATATCTTCCCACCTTCACACCCGTTGGCAACAACGTTGGTCTACTATGCTCGGCAACAAACTTCAATCTATTAAACCGAGTATAGGTTACTGGCCGTCTTTTTATCACCAGTGTCGAGGTTGGGAGACTACTCTCTCCCGTCTTCGCATTGGCCATACTCGTCTTACTCATGGATATCTCATGGAGAGGCGTCTTGCTCCTCTCTGAGAATTGCCAAGCTCCATTATCAGTCAGCCACATTCTGTTGGACTGCCCACTTTATCAACGAGCACGCAGAATTTACCTCTGTCGTCGTCTTCGCTCCGCTGCTCTCTCTTTACCTTCCCTTCTCGCTGATGGACCCACCTTTCATCCAGACTCTCTCATTAACTTTTTGACAACAACTGATTTCACAAATTCTGATGCCTTCAGCCCTTTCTACTTCAATCTCTTGCTACCCTCTACCCCCGTACTATCCCCTGCCCCGCTGTTTTCTGTAACCTGCTGATCATCCCTCCTCCCTTCTGCCATCCAATACCCTCGCTTCCTTCCCTACCCTGCAGCGCTGTATAGCCCTTGTGGCTTAGCGCTTCTTTTTATTATAATAATAATAATTTAAAGCTGTACTCCTATATCGAAGAAGGATTGTAATACTTTTACACACATTCATGTAGTGAATATTACTATGTCAAGGATGTTTAATTTGTGTTTCAGATAGGGAGATTAGGATCTTATGTCCAGTCATTAACAAGTTTGATCTTAAGCTAGGATGTAGTTAGTTGTAGGGGAGTGCCTGTATAGTCTTCATTGAGGGTGTTTCTTGCCCCGTCCTTGTGTGGGGAGAACCAATTTGACATGTTTCAATATGATAATTCTAGTCTTGGATTATATTAAATATTTACATAACCTAGGTTTAAAGATGAGGTAGCATGTAATGTATTCTCTTATATTTTACGTGTAAACTCCATGTTATACAATGTTGTTATGACAGTTTGAATTTCATGGTTGATGCATTATTATTATTGATATTAAATTGTGGGTGTATATTCTTCCGCTTATACAGGTGTGTGTGTATAGCAATGTAATGTCCATATCTGTTTTCGTATGTACTTTTATATTTTTGTGTTTTGTTTTGTTCATGCATCACCAACTTCTGGTAAATTCCCATTAAGGTTTAATGAGGTAAGGGTATAACCCTAATTGTTAGGTTACTTAAGGTATTTCTTAGAACGGTGCATGTAAATATTTTTGTCTGCACTGGCATTATTAATTATTGTACAAGGAGGGGTTTTGTAGGACATGTTGTTGGATGTGTAACTGGTGGTAATATGGCTATCAGCTATAGTGTTATTTTAAGTACTGGGATTGTGTGATAGAGGATTTTGTTAATATCCAGTATAGTTCTTCTTTTATTAAACTCTTATACATTCTTGTATTTGTTGTAAGTAAATGAGTGGGTAATGAGCTGGATTATATGAGAATGTCTTTGTATATAAACTTTCATGTACAATGTAAATAAGTGTGACATTCTTTGGATTATATCAGCCCTTGTGGCTTAGCGCTTCTTTTTGATTATAATAATAATAATAATAATTTAGATTATATTGCCTTTTGTGTTATAAGATACTGGTTGTATTTTATGGATATAATAAACCCACCTGTATGTTCAGGTGTGGGTTGTCCTTAGTGTAGTTACATGTATGTTCGGCATTTTTTGGGGGGGTATCAAACATTTATAGTTGAACGTGTGTTTCTTATGTATAAATTTAGTGCTGGGATAGGGAACGTGGAGTTGTTTGTTTTTATTATTTAATGGTTCACATGTCTTTCTTTATGTGACGTATGTATAGCATACATGTATAATGTGTATTGTGTTTTTTAAATAAAATAAAAAAAAAATACTACTACTATTCAGCTACTATGCTGGTACTATACTAGTACAGTACTATTACTATTCTGCTACTATACTAGTCCCCTCAAGGGAGGTTCCTTGACGCTGGTGAGGGACTCTTGATCTAGGGAATTGGATCTGTGCTCCAGTTCCCTGAATTGAGCCTGAATACCTTCCATCCCTCCCCCCCCCTGTGCATGCGCTAGATAATCCTACGGGTTTAGTGCTCCCCCATAATTATAATAAAATTACTATACTCGTACAATACCACTACTATGCAATACTACTACTACTATACTACTACTACTATACTACCACTACTATACTACCACTACTACTATGCTACTACTGTTATTCTATGCTACCACTCTACTAGTACAATAAATACTATTACTACTACTTCCATTCAACTATACTACCACTAATTCTACTACTAAATAATAATAATAATAATCATGTACCAGTATATCAGAAAAGAAAATATGAATTTTTGTGTGAAGAAATTTAGGAGGGAGAGAGAGGAGAGGGAAGGTGATGGTAATGAGTTGGTGACACAGGATGCATGATATCACGGAAGCCTCGTACATGTTGAAAAATATTTATAGGCTCTGTGCTGCCTCTGACACACCACACACACACACACACACACACACACACACACACACACACACACACACACACACACACACACAGAGTCGTAGACCAGTCGTAGAGCCAGAAACGAATATGCACAGATAAGAAGGGAGGCCCAAAGACAAAATGAAAATGACATAGCAGCGAAAGCCAAATCTGACCCAAAACTGTTGTACAGCCACATCAGGAGGAAAACAACAGTCAAGGACCAGGTAATCAGGCTAAGGAAGGAAGGAGGAGAGTCAACAAGAAATGACCGTGAAGTATGTGAAGAACTCAAAGAAGTGTTCACAGAGGAGACAGAAGGGACTCCAGAAAGACGGAGAGGTGGGGCACACCACCAAGTGCTGGACACAGTGCACACCACCGAGGAAGAAGTGAAGAGGCTTCTGAGTGAGCTAGATACCTCAAAGGCAATGGGGCCAGATAACATCTCCCCATGGGTATTGAGAGAGGGGTACACATAGCACCTCTGCTCCCTAACAACAATATTCAATACATCTATCGAAACAAGGAGATTGCCTGAGGCATGGAAGACAGCAAATGTAGTCCCAATCTTTAAAAAAGGAGACAGACATGAAGCATTAAACTACAGACCATTGTCACTGACATGTATAGTATGCAAAATCATGGAGAAGATTATCAGGAGAAAAGTGGTGGAACACCTAGAAAGGAATGATCTCATCAACAGCAGCCAACATGGTTTCAGGGACGGGAAATCCTGTGTCACAAACCTACTGGAGTTCTATGACATGGTGACAGCAGTAAGACAAGAGAGAGAGAGAGAGGGGTGGGTGGATTGCATTTTCTTGGACTGTAAGAAGGCGTGATGAATGGTTTGAAAAACCGACAAGTTGAAGATTGAGACACTTGTGCAGCATATGGGAATCTTTATTCAGGAAACGTTTCGCCACACAGTGGCTTCATCAGTCCAATACAAAGAGGAAGGCGTAAGGAGAGGAGGAGAATGAGGTAATCAGTCCCTCAACCTGGAGTCGATGTGTTCAGTCCATCAATCTACAAGACTGATGGACTGAACACATCGACTCCAGGTTGAGGGACTGATTACCTCATTCTCCTCCTCTCCTTACGCCTTCCTCTTTGTATTGGACTGATGAAGCCACTGTGTGGCGAAACGTTTCCTGAATAAAGATTCCCATATGCTGCATAAGTGTCTCAATCTTCAACTGCAAGAAGGCGTTTGACACAGTTCCACACAAGAGATTGGTGCAAAAACTGGAGGACCAAGCAGGGATAACAGGGAAGGCACTACAATGGATCAGGGAATACTTGTCAGGAAGACAGCAGCGAGTCATGGTACGTGGCGAGGTGTCAGAGTGGGCACCTGTGACCAGCGGGGTCCCGCAGGGGTCAGTCCTAGGACCAGTGCTGTTTCTGGTATTTGTGAACGACATGACGGAAGGAATAGACTCTGAGGTGTCCCTGTTTGCAGATGACGTGAAGTTGATGAGAAGAATTCACTCGATCGAAGACCAGGCAGAACTACAAAGGGATCTGGACAGGCTGCAGACCTGGTCCAGCAATTGGCTCCTGGAGTTCAATCCACCAAGTGCAAAGTCATGAAGATTGGGGAAGGGCAAAGAAGACCGCAGACAGAGTACAGTCTAGGGGGCCAGAGACTACAAACCCCACTCGAGGAAAAAGATCTTGGGGTGAGTATAACACCAGGCACATCTCCTGAAGCGCACATCAACCAAATAACTGCTGCAGCATATGGGCGCCTGTCAAACCTCAGAACAGCATTCCGACATCTTAATAAGGAATCATTCAGGACCCTGTACACCGTGTACGTTAGGCCCATATTGGAGTATGCGGCACCAGTTTGGAACCCACACCTAGCCAAGCACGTGAAGAAACTAGAGAAAGTGCAAAGGTTTGCAACAAGACTAGTCCCAGAGCTAAGAGGTATGTCCTACGAGGAGAGGTTAAGGGAAATCAACCTGACGACACTGGAGGACAGGAGAGATAGGGGGGACATGATAACGACATACAAAATTCTGAGAGGAATTGACAAGGTGGACAAAGACAGGATGTTCCAGAGATTGGACACAGTAACAAGGGGACACAGTTGGAAGCTAAAGACACAGATGAATCACAGGGATGTTAGGAAGTATTTCTTCAGCCACAGAGTAGTCAGTAAGTGGAATAGTTTGGGAAGCGATGTAGTGGAGGCAGGATCCATACATAGCTTTAAGCAGAGGTATGATAAAGCTCACGGCTCAGGGAGAGTGACCTAGTAGCGATCAGTGAAGAGGCGGGGCCAGGAGCTCGGACTCGACCCCCGCAACCTCAACTAGGTGAGTACAACTAGGTGAGTACACACACATGCTCTCTCGCCCACTACATTAGGTCAATTTCTTCCGGAAACAGGACAAGTGTTTCCTGACGCGGATCTTAGATGATGACCCGCCGTTGGAGCTTAGGGTCATCTGAGCAAGGCCTTCCGCTGGCTTACCAGGCCACTCCTTTAAAAATTATGGTCAGTTATAACCATTTAGTTTTGATACTCTCTCGCCCACTCTCAAAGAATAGAAACACTGTTTCAGAGTTTTGACTAGAGAGCAACAAGAAGTATTGTTGAGGTCAGCGGTGTTTTATTTTTAAGGTAATTTATCGTTTAGGCTGGCTGCTGCCTGTCAGGCATAAAAGATAAAAAAATTATTTCTTTCCCCTCATGGAAGGTTCCTTGATGTTGGTGAGGGGCTCTTGATTTAGGGAATTGGATCTGTGCTCCAGTTCCCCGAATTAAGCCTGAATGCCTTCCACATCCCCCCTCCCCTGGGCGCTGTATAATCCTACGGGTTTAGCGCTTCCCCCTTGATTATAATAATAATAATTATTTCTTTGTCAAGGTTACAATGTGTAATCACAATTTTGATTTGCTAAGCACAAAGAAAGCCACAATCATGCCGGAGCACTAGGCCTCTCGCCTCCCCGATTCCCCCACCCACCCCAAAAAATGTCCAGAATTTTGACAAAAAGTTTCATAAAGCTCTATTGAGCTTAATGACACACACACAAAAAAGGCTTAGTGTCTCATCGACAAGTGTCTTTTTACGAAATGATAACTTACTCATTTTCGAACGAATTTATGCATTAATTTCATAATGAAGGGGAAGCGCTAAACCCACAGGGGTCACACACCTGGTGAGATAATCACAGTTTAGATTTGAGGAAGCATAGGGTATCCTCCTCCCCAGGCCTTGGATCAAGAGTCCTTCACCAGCCATCAAGGCACTTAGCTTACAAAACAGCCAAGAGCCCTAACACAACTTGTCTAGTTTCTGTTGTGATCTCCACTGATCTCCATTCTGATCTCCACTGATCTCCACTCTGATCTCCAGTGAGCTCCACTCTGCTCTCTACTCTGATCTCCATTCTAAACACTTATACGAACTTTCTTTCCCGTCAGCCCAGGTGAGGGGCTCTTGATCCAGGAAAAAGTAACCTGTACTCCCCTTCCTTGGATCGAAATTGCCTCCCATGTCTCTGTATTACACACTACTGGTTTAGCGCTTTATCAGTAATAATAATAATTTGAATATCATAATGATTTCTATTCTTTTTTTCTTTTTCATTTCAATTGATTTTTAAAGCTTACCTTATTAATTTTTTTTTTTTACCTTAGTTCATGTTTATTAATACATAAAGTCCTCCGAATTTATTTTTGGCTGGATTTATTTCATTATTATTATTTTATATTATTATTCATGAAGAATTAAACCCGTGAGGATTATACAGCGCCCTGGACTGAGAGGCAATTAAGTGTGATCCTTTGTTGGTGAGGGTAGCTCTAATTTCTCGGATCAAGAGCCTCAGTGTGAGAAGAGGATTGATGCTTATCCTGGCCATTCTCGTTTGGACTTCTCATTTACATTACTAAAAAAATTGAACCAACTAGCCGTTCAGATCTTGTCTGAACAGCTAGTTGGTTCAGTGACTGATTCGAGAACCAGGATACCTTCGTTACCTGGTGGATATATGCACCGAGCTATGTGTATTTTTCTGGGAGTATACATATATTTTGAAAGTTTATCATAATCCGTCTTTTAGGGGTTAAAGTATTCTTGACTGGGGGTCGAACCTGTTATATGCAGCCTTCAATGTTGGTGATAGGATTGAATCTCAGTCATGCAGCCAACTGAGACAGTTCACGTTACGTCAGCTGTGTTTATGATGGGTGTCAGTACAGTTGTCAGAGTGGCGCTGACGGGTGAACTGGTGGGTGATTTGACAGGTGTACTGTTTACACCGAGGCTTTGTTTATTTCTGTGTTCATACTCTTGAGAATTTACTCTTTTATGACGCAAGTGTAGCTGGTGAGCCTTAAACTTGGCTAAATGGGATGGTGTGAGGCTGAGAGAGCCTTCCTGGTGAGAGCTCATCATGATGGTACGGTGTTAAACCTCCCGGTGCTAATGATCTAGTTGTTTAAGAACCTTTATCAGTAAAGAAGGAAGAGGAAGGCAGACATTCTGTGCTGGCAGAGGTGGTGGGGTGATTTGTTAGGTAATAGTAACGTCTTATTGGTTTTAATCAGATAATGAACCATTAGCTGGTGAAGCATCCGTTGGTTCACCCCAGCCGGGTCTTCCACCCCTTTCATAAAATAAACGATGACTACATAGTGTATGTAGACTGTGCATATACAAAACTTTCATACCAAAAGTGTCTTCACATATTGTTTATATGTAGTACCTCTCAGGTCAAGAGTTAGGTTAGATAAGTCGGGAAACAGGAAAAGTTTCCCGACTTGAGTCTTAATTATATAATGACCCGCAGCTGGAGCTTTTGGTCATCTGACAGAGGCCTTCAGCTGGCTTACCGGTCCACTTCTTTAAAAGTTTGATTATATAGTTAGTAGTATCAACAGAGGCTACTACTATATACACTAGTGCACCCCCCCCCCCCATCCCCACACCTACATATGAACATTAATACTGTAACGAACGAACGAAAGTTCAGGTAAGATCCCAAATGGGATGAGCGGGGAAGACGGGACAGACGAAGAATAGTGCTGAAGAGGAGTGTTCTTAGTCGTAGAAATAGAGCCAGGGTTTATGATTAATACTGTGAATGTTGACAGTCTCTGGCATGGATGGCCTTCACAGCCAGTACATGATACAGTAAGTGCACCATCTAGTATTACATCCAGCAGAGGCGTTGCTAGAGTTTGTGTCGCCCGGGGCGGAATCTCGGGTGTCATCCCCATGAAATTCAAGGGCGGGGGGGATGGGGGGGTAAACTCTAGTTACGTCACTACTACATAACCAGTGACAAATGTTTAGCAATGAGAACGTTTAAGGGCCATAAACCAAACAGGAGAATACTTCTCAACTTTGTTAATGATAAATAATCGTAGTAATATTGAGTTAACAAACTCAAATACCACTTTGAGTACAGCCAACAGATCCTACATTTATTCATCTTCAACAATGCCAAAAAAAAAATTGAAAAATAAAGAAAACATTGCAATATCAGAGAAATACTAGTTCCAATTTGACCTTGAGTACAGGTAACATCTTAGTGAATCAGATCTTACATTCCATTGCCTTCAATTATGCAAAAATCATCTATGACATCATCAAAATCAATTATTTTTCCCTATATAGGCTTATTTGTACCTTGTTAATATATAATATGCTATATAGAAACGATGGATTCTTCTTATGTTGGTGCAGCACTGTTTTGGGCATTAGTGTCCCCTTCAGAGGCTCTATGGTGTCACCCCCTAAATGGTGTCACCCGGGGCGGCCCGCCCCCCTTACGACGCCCCTGACATCCAGTATTATTATAATCATGGGGAAGCGCTAAACCCGTAGGATTATACAGCGCATGTGGGGGTGGGGAGAGATAGAAGGTATTCAGGCTTAATTCAGGGAACTGGAGCACAGATCCAATTCCCTAGATAAAGATCCCATCACCAGCGTCAAGGAACCTCCCTTGAGGGGCATCCAGGAAAAGAGCTAAACTCGCTCGTCATACAACGCCTGGGGGAATGAGAGGCGGTCAAGTTTTATCCAGGAAAAAAAAAGAGGCCCTCACCGGCATCAAGGCCCCTCCCACTTGAGGGGAGGGTCCTTTACTGTGAAAGTGCCCTACTAATGCCGCCAACCTCGCCAGTTCGAATCCAGAGTCTCAGTGAAACTATTCTAAGAGCACTGGATGTCTCCACCTGAGTCATTAGTCCACCTAATGCTCCACTTCATAACTCTTAGGGAGATACCTTGATGCTGAGACACTCTTGATGCAAGGAACTGGACTTTATCTCCCTAGGACTAAACATAAGGCCTCACATTCCCAAAGAACTATGCCCACTACAGGTTTAGCGCTTCCCCCGGATTAAAATAAAAAATCAGCGACGTAGGGGAGAAGTCTGATGCTTCCCTGTAATTGGAAGTTTAGAGGAAGAGACCATTTTCCCGGAGAACTTGACACTTTATCACAGTTTGAGGGTTAGCGTGTCTCGGCAACACTTTGCAGGCTGCATGCGTGACCCAGGACAGAAATGCTATCTAGTAAATGACCTAGTGCTTGTTCGCTAGTCTTTTTTAAACAAAGAATATCAGTTTTCCTCGTAGATGATTTTCAGGTTTTGTATATAGTGTTTGCCTTTTCTAAATCCTTACTTCAGAACAAGTCCAGAATAAAATTAATTTTAGGAAATGTTTAAAAATTATAATTACATAATCTAGATTGTTGGGAGCAAATACTGCACGTCATGCTCTTGGAGAGTGTCTGGCACTTGCCCTATTTTTTTTTTTAACTGACTTGAGTATTTGGCTAATTTAGTTTGCATCATTATAATTCAGTAATTTTTCTTTTCAGCCACCACTCGGATAATACGAAGTGTGGGATCTGGCCTTTGCTGTCAGCTGCAATCTGCTAATCACCACCAAGAAGCAAATGCCATTCTTAGGGTCCCTGAAACTTCTCCTGGCTGATTTCCAAACTATGGCAAGAGAAACTGAATAGAATTTTCACTTTTTAATTTACTGCATAAAGGCAAGATTCATTTCTCGTTCTAGGCTGAGGACAGCGATGTCAATTCATAATTAGCACCTGAATGTCTATCTGAGCTCGATAAATTTCATTTGATACAGAAATCTTATCACTAAGGCAGTGATTTAGACATTCAGAGGTTGAGTGAAACTATTACTTGTGGAAAATTTCCTGTTCCACAAGGAGTGCTACCTGTATAGACTGCTGTCCACAGCAGATTGCTTCCTGACACTGGTATGGAAGCAATAAGTGCTGGTGGATGGGAGTAAGGCTTGTGACACTAGAGTTTATTTATGCAGTGAACAGTCAGAACTTATGCTGAACATAGAGAATTCCTGCTCTTGCAGGTGATATCGGAGCAACCTCCACAAGGAGAGACTGCAAACAGGGCGAAAAAGTGCTTCATTTGATACTCGAGGAGTGCCAGTGTAAAGCGGTGCTAAATTGGTCCTTCAAGGAGGACCAGGGTAAAGAAGTGCTCCCTTGGTTCTTCAAGCAGCACCAGGGTAAGGAAGGGCACCATTTAGACTTCAAGGAGAACCAGGGTAAATTATTCCATTTGGGTTTCACTGAGGACCAGGGCAAGGTAATGCTTCATTTGGCCATCAAGGAGGACCAGGGTGAAGTGGTCTATTTACCCCTCACACCTGGGATTAACAAAAGCAAAAATGCAGGTAGTTTTTTATGGTAGTCTGGTGAAGCCAAAAGTTGGTAAAAAATTGTCCTTTATGGATGTGTTCTGAAATATTATCTCCTGCTGTAACACACTCTTGCTCTATTAACGTTGCTGCTATTGGTATTGTTTTAGCATTTCAGTTTAAATAAAATCTTTTTCTTTGTTGCAGATTTGTATTGCAGAAGTACAGGAGCACGCCCAAAGGCACAATGCAAACTTGCCTCGAAGAACTTGTGTTCTCATCCTACTCCTTTCACCAGCTGCCCACCATCCACAGATGCTCACCAAATGGCCCCAGTGCAGGCCACTGGATCCCATCCTATCCAGGACACCTACAATCCCTATCCTGTACGTGTTGCCTGCAAACGGCAATTGAATTACCCAGAGCATGAGAAAAATGATTACCAACACAGTATTCCTAGTAATATAAAACAATTAAAGCTAGATATCTCTTCCTCTTCCCAGGACCCAAGTAATGTGTCTGGAAACTATCAGAATGGTGCAAAACAATTGGAAGTTAATAGAGGAACTCCAGCACAGCCTATGTACTATGAGTGTGGCATGTGTCACCTGCGTACTAGTAATTCCAGTGGGATAACGAAGCACATGACATCCCATCCAATGGGGGGATCAGTTCTTTGTGTTCTCTGTGGCAAGGTTGCAAAAGATGTGCTGGAGCTAAATAACCATGTAATCAGACACGTAGGAGTGCGTGAGGAGATCAAAAATCGTCGCCGACCAGAGTTCCAGCGTAATGAAAAAGGAAAATTTATCTGCCCTTACTGCAAAAAGACCTACACTGAGAGAGATGACATGATTGCACACACCAGGCTACATACAGGGGAACAACCATATGAGTCATTTTTTTGCAACAAAAAATTTCATAGTGGTAAACTCTATGCTAATCACATGAAAAAGCTCCACACTAGGGAAGACTGAATCGGTAAATCATTGAATAAATGAATGCCTTAGTGTTGAGGTCATGCTTCATAAACTACTGCTCTGACCAACTGGAAACTTTTTAATTTTTTTTTTTTTTTTTTTTTTTTTTTTTTTTTGCCATTAGCTGCCACTCGGGTACTATACAAAAAAAAATGTACAAAGATACTAAAGGTGCTATTACCAACTATTTTTTTCTCTACAAAAATGCTAGTCGTACATCAAACTTTTAATGTTTGCTTTTTTTGAAAGTTTTTATTTATTGGCTTAATGCCTCTGTTCTATTTTTATGACAATGGCTAGGCACTAGCCTGCTCAAAAACAATTTACTCCATTTTTTATGTACATGTACAACAAATTTTTAAATACTGAAATGTGCCTTTTTTAAATCTACAATATTTATATTTTATTTTTGTTACTAGGTTGTCTTGTTTAACTTCAGAAAAAAATAACAAGAAAAGGTATGTCAACATTTCATCACCTAATGTACATTTGTGTGACTTAATATAGTAATAATGTTGGTAGAATTACCAACACAAGGACACAAGTGCAACTAATGTGACATTTTTATTGTGGCAACGTTTCGCTCTCCAGGAGCTTTGTAAAGCAGTTACCAACAATATATGGACACAGAGGGTATGTATAGGCTAAGAGTGAGGTGTAACATTAGTGGTGGTGGTAGTAGTAGTAGTAGTAATATAAGTTGTAGTAGTAATAAGTATTACACCTCACTAAGCCTACATATACCTTGTGTGTCCATATATTGTTTGTAACTGCTTTACAAAGCTCCTGGAGAGCGAAACGTTGCCACAATAAAAATGTCACATTAGTTGCACTTGTGTCCTTTAACTTGACTTAATGTAGTTTGCCACTGATTCAGTCTCTTCTAAACCCCCTTATTTCCTTATTTTTCTTGATTTTTTTTTTACCTCTTATGCAGCCTGTAGTGTTGGGTATCATGACAATCTTCTGATTTTCTTTGGTTATTTGTTGGCTATGCTCAAGGTGCAGTGCTGTATAACCTTTGTGGGTTTAGTGTTTAGGTTTATAATAATAATTATGCTCATTATTGACTTGACAATGATTCCTTGCTTACCAGCATGGTCAGCAATGTTCCTAAAGCTCCCTACTGAGGGAACCCCCTTTTAAAACCGAGTACAGGGGGGGGGGGATTACAGTCGGATATACCTTTGAGGGGTTTTTTGAATGTCTGGTGTTGCAGTTGGGCCTGGAACCAAAAATTTTCTGTTATACCTTTTAAACCAGGCTGTGATTGATTTTTTGGGCACCCACTGGCCCTGTATCCATCATAGCTTGGTTGATCTGGCATTTGGGAAATAGCAATCCATTTACTTTTAAATTTCCACTTCCGAATATTTGATACAACTTGCGGGTAGCATGTTAAATGATTTTGTACCACAATATTCACTGTTCTCTTACTGTGCCCAGACACCTGTTTTTGATAGGGGCTATTTTAAAATTTTTTCCTCCCCTCTCGCTCCAGTACCAGCCTTCAAGTATTTTCACTGTATATATTATCAGGAATCAGTTCTGCATACTCCAGAGTACATTCCCAGTATTTTGAGGCATTCCCAATAATTTAAATGCTTTATTGGCTCTATTTTGGTAGTAAACAATCATTGTATCTTTTGTCACTCTTTTCCCGCCTTGAAGGGGGAAAAGTCAACACTGATTATTGAAAATAAACCCAAAAGCATGATTTGAGTTTACCATTGGCAATATTTTTCTTGCTTTGAAAGATCTCTCCACCTTTTTTTTTCTGACCATTGTAGGATTGTCCTTGTGTTCTCAAAATTGTTTGACATTGACATTAATACATAGCAAAACCTTTTGCAAATTTTGCTTTGAGGTTGTCCTCCTGCATTTTGTATCCAGTGAACCTTTTATTTTAATTTTCTGCATTGGAGCAATTAGTTTGTCATCACTGAGCAGTGTGTTTTCTATTGCCAAGAAAAATTTGTTGATACCTGCTTGTAACTTTTCAGTGTCCTCTACCGAGGCAATGTTCACGCCTATTTTAATATCGCCTACAAAGGATGGTATGCAATGGTGGCTAGTGGTTTTTATCAGTATCTACAAAGATGAGAAACAGTAAAGGCACCAGAGCTGTACCTTAGGGTATTGAACTTTCTACTTTGCTGAGGTTAGATTTTGCATTGCTTACTACCACACTCTTCTATTTATTAGAAAGGAATTAACATTTTTCCTAAATTTCCTATTGGCCCATAAAACGAGGTCAGTAGTTATATTGCTCCATAATTGCTTTTGTGCTTGTCAGATACACAATTTGTAGGTTGAGCAGATACAACAAAACCATCCAGATCCCAGACTCTCCTGAACATTGATTCATTCTGATCTCAGATTTTGGCTTTTTTCTTTTCCATCACTGTATTAACCTTTTGTGGATAGTGGGCCAATTCTAGAGGCAGTTATGGACTTATTATAATATATGATCTATTAATGGACTGTGGAGATGGACACTTCTAAACGCTATGGGACTGACCACCACAAAATTATTACAAGCCTGGTGGACTCATCACATCATCTTTACCCTTCCCCTGCTTATGCAATCACCAGTTTGTTACTTCTGTATTAGATTAAAGAAGCCTACTTCATAGGCAAAACTACTTCACAATGTTTCTTTGGTGTTGAGATAGATCGAAGGAAGCTTACTGATGGCCGTTGAATCAATCGGCTAGCCTTGCACAGAGTAGCTCTAAGAGTTGTGTTCACATGATTGGATCTACATTATGTAAAAGCGTTAAGTAATGTTTCTCCCAGAGCTTGGTAAAATTTTAAGACTTCTCTTTTTCTATAAAAAAAAATTTCTCATACACAATGTGGGTACAAAACATATAAAATATTTAAAATAGACTTTATTCAGTTCATAAACTTCCACGTAGTACGTATACTAAAATGATAAAATTTCAAGCACTCCTGTACCATTATCTAGTATGAAAATAATTTTTGTAATGTATTCTAACAGTAATGTATACTCTTAACTTTTCTTTGTGACATCAAAAATAAGATGTCACTTTAATCAACATTAAAAAATAAGAAACTGTAACAATACAAAGTGCAGTATTTTTCCCTAATTATGTTAATACAAGACTGTCCATGCAATAACATGCAAAATACCCTCCGTGGGAGATGCCTCGATCCCAATGAGAAACCCTTGATCCAAACACCTCGAGTTAAACTTCCCTTGGATCAAACCTGAATCCCTTCCATTCCCCGGGTGCTAAATGACCCCACTTGATTTTTGGCTTTTTCTCATTTAAAATAAAAAATGCACAACCTCATGAGGCATTGCGATCTTCCACAAATGTAATAATAGTAGTACAGTGGAACCTCAAATTTTGAACGTATCGCTTATCGAACTCTTCAAAAATCGAACTTTTTTTCGAACCAACTTTGTCCCTATTATCGAACTCGCTCCTATTTTCGAACCGCCGGGTACCAGACTTGTCCAGCAGCCCGCTCTGTCCGTGTCCTTGCGCAGGCACAGTGAGCCAGTCTGGTTTTGTTGATGCTTGAGTGAACACTAACCTGTGCTCTCATTCAAACATTTTACAATTATTTCATTGTGTTTAGTGCTTGTGGGACTATGAAATAAGCCCAAAGAAACTTGCTAGTGGTGCCCCTGTGGTAAAGAAAGTGAGAAACACCATAGATGTGAAGAAGGAAATAATACAGAAGTATGAGAGTGGTGTGAGACTTGTTGAACTTGCCAGGATGTGTGGGGAAAAAACACGTTGACCATCGGTTCTATCCTGGCAAAGAAAGAACAAATCAAGGAAGCTGATGTTGCAAAAGGTGTTAATATGCTAACCAAAAAAAGACCATAGACAATCGATCAGGTTGAGAAATTGTTGCTGGTGTGGATCAAGGATAAAGAGATGGCAGGTGATAGCGTTTCAGAGACCATTATTTGCAAAATGGCAAGGAAGTTGCATGCCGATCTGGTACAGAAAACTCCTGGAACCAGTGCTGATAATGAATTTAAGGCCAGCAGAGGCTGGTTTGACAGATTTAAGAAGCGTAGTGGCATACACAATGTTGTAAGGCATGGTGAGGCAGCCAGTTCAGACAAACGGGTGGCTGAAAAGTTTGTACAGGAGTTTAAGGTTTACGTAGACACTGAAAAATTAAAACCCCAACAAGTGTTCATTTGTGACGAAACAGGCCTGTTTTGGAAGAAAATGTCGAAGAGTACCTACATTACTCGGGAGGAAAAGGCACAAGCCTATGAAAGACAGGCTAACTCTTTTATTCAGTGCTATCGCTAGTGGTGCTTTTAAAGTGAAGCCTTTACTTGTGTATCGTTCAGAAAATCTGAGTGTTTAAGAAAAACAATGTCATAAAGAGCAAGTTATGTGTCTTGTGGAAAGCAAATAATAAGGCATGCATCACAAGGCAAATTTTCAGAGTGGATCCACGAAGTGTTTGGCCCCAGTGTGAGAAAATACCTCCTAGACAATAATTTGCCACTCGAGTGCCTCCTGCTCATCCTCCAAACTTATTAGACCTCTTGTCTAGGGACTTCAGTTTTATAACAGTGAAGTTCTTGCCTCCTAACACCACTCCTCTCCTCCAGCCCATGGACCAGCAGGTCATTAAAGACTTCCAAAAATTCTACACAAAAGCAGTGTTTGAAAAGTGCTTTGAAGTGACCACAGACACTAAGTTGACCCTAAGAGAGTTCTGGAGGAATCACTTCAATATCTACACCTCCATAAGCCTTATAGGTAAGGCTTGGGAGGGAGTGACTTCCAGGACTTTGAACTCTGCTTGGAGACAAATGTAGCCAAATTGTGTCCAAAAGAGGGATTTTGAAGGGTTTGAGGCTGACCCTGTCCTGACCCAACTGACCTTCTGCCTGTTGTGGACTATTGTGGCACTGGGGAACACCCTGGGGCTGGAGGTGAGAGGCGAGGATGTGGAAGAGTTGGTGGAGGACCACAGGGAAGAGCTAACCACTGAAGAGCTGGAAAAGCTTCACAGCGCTGTATAGCCCTTGTGGCTTAGCGCTTCTTTTTGATTATAATAATAATGGAAAAGCTTCATCTGGAACAGTATCAGACCACAGCTGAGGACCTTGCTTCAGAGGAGGAGGAAGAGGGAGTGGATGAGGTGCCTTCAAAGATTAAGGAGATTTGTGCCAAGTGGAATGATGTCCAAATGTTTGTGCAAAAGTACCACCCTGAGCAAGCTGAAACAAGCCATCTTTGCAACAAGTTCAGTGACAAAACCATGTCCCATTTTAGGGAAATCTTAGAGGCACCAGAAACATAGGACTGTGGACAGTTATTTTGTGAGACAGGGGTCCAGTGACTCTCAAGCTGGTCCTAGTGGCATTAAAAGACAGAGAAGGGAAGTAACCCCTGAGAGGGCTTTGATATCAGAAGTCCTCATGGAGGGGGATTCTCTTTCCAAACACTAACCCCAACTCCCTCTCTCCTCCTCCCTATATTCCAGATGCCATTACCAATCTTCAATAAAGGTAAGTAAAAATGTTATTTTATATATTTATTTACATTTATTAATACATAATTGAACACTATATTTGTTGTGTGTATGTAAAACTGTAATTAATCTCTATAAAATGTAATTTTTTTGTGAATATTTTTGGGTTTCTGGAACGGATTAATTGTATATCCATTGTTTCTTATGGGAAATATTGCTTCGCTTTTCAGACTTTTCGAATTTAGAACTAGCTCCTGGAATGGATCAAGTTCGATATTTGAGGTTCCACTGTACATCTTTTTATTGCTTCATTTTTTATAATAATAATAATATAATAATACATATAATCAAGGGGAGTGCTAAACCCATAGGATTATGCACAGCATGTGTGGAGGGGGAGGTACTCAGGCTCAATTCAGGGAACTGGAGCACAGATCCCTCACCAGCATCAAGGAACCTCCCTGGAGGGGAATAAAAATAATAATAATAATGTATACATTTGTAATGCATAACTCTAACCTAGTTAATATTGATATTCATAAGAAATAATGACCAAAACAAAACAGATATGAACATGGGAAAGACATCCATCAATAAATGCATTGGGTGTTGAAAATCTGCAAATAATAGGTCTGAAAATTTGAAGGGATGTCTGTACATTTATCCACATTGCTTGGCTCTAAACACTCACAAATTCAGTCTATGCAGTTTTTAATTGACATTTTGCCCATGCCGTGTGTTTTTCTCAATGGCTTTAAAAAATTTCACCCAAGCAGTGGGTGAAACATTGACAAAATAGTCTTGTTACACTGCATTTGTCTGTTTCTACTGTCAGTATTTTCTACCATTTCCCACCATTTAGACTATTACTGACTAGTATTAACAAGCATCAATATTAAAAATAATAATATTAAAGTACATTCATGGAAAAGTTAAACCTGTAGAGATCATACAGCACCTGGGGGATGGCAGGGGAGGCTTAATATTAAGGTCAGAGTTAAGGAAAGGGAGAGCAGTTAGTCCTTGGATCAAGAACCTCTCACTGGCATCAATAAACTTCTCCTGAGGTTAAAAAGTGCTTGCAGGATTTCTCTATTATATACAAATGAAAATGCACATTCAAGATTTTACAGGATTTACAAATGATACCCTGATGATGAAGGGTTCTTGATCCAAGGAACTGGAGCAACCCTTCCATCAAATTGGACTGGTTGCTATTCCCCAGGTGCTCTATGCCTAAAAGATTAGAGCTTCAAGATACTGCTTTCCCCTCAGCCTTGTAGCACTTTTGAATCCATATGAATTGGGCTTTTCTGAATACAATAATACATAATTATAAACAGACGAGGCAGCCATGGAGAGCAATAAAACTTCCTAGATGCAAGTAATTTATTTTTTCAATTAATGACTAATTTTCTCAACTAAACTGACCAGTAACCACAAAAGCACGGTAATTAAAGACTTTGATCTTTTTCAGTATTGTATAATTTTTAAGCCCCTCCCCCTAGACTGATATTCTGGTTTCAGCCCCCCCCCCCCCTTTCCCTTCCTCAGACTGAAATTTGGCTGTACTACTGATTACAAGAATAATAATTATAATGATAATCATAAATGTAATAATCTCCATGGGGAAGTGGAACAGAATTCTTCCTCCGTAAGCCATGCGTGTCATAAAGAGGTGATTAAAATGCCAAGAGCAAGGGACTAATAACCCCTTATCCTGTATTCATTGCTTTTTTTTTTTTAGTTTTAATATGTTTATTATGCACCCCATACCCATCCTGTGGGCGGTAGTCAAAAGATTACAGAGGTACATAATTGGTCCAGGGACTGGGCCTCAAAGTTTTGATAGCTGAGCAAGTTACAGAGGCAATGAATTCACAATTTACAAAGGTAATGAACTCACAATTTACAAAGGTAATGAACTCCAGGTAGGTCTAGTCACAATCATGACAAGTTACAAAGGTATTTACAGATTACAGAGGTACACAATGGGTCCAGGGACCGGGCTCCAAAGTTTTGATGGCTGAACTAGGTACAAGGTAATGAACTCACAAGTTACAAAGGTAATGAACTCGCAAGTTACAAAGGTAATGAATACTGTAAGAATGGTTACTACGTTTATACATGGCTGCAATCATGAACAAATTTTAGAGTAATGAGCAATTCACACTTCCACACCCGGTCACAACTGTAGTGAGTTATTGGTGCAAATGTTGATTGCTGAGTCTCTCTCTCTCTCACACACACACACACATACAAATTCATACACACACACACACACACACACACACACACACACCACACACACACAACACACACACACCACACACACACACACAAACTCATACACACACACGCACCACCACACTCATACACACACACACACCTCATACACACACACACACTCATACACATATATTCATTGCTAAAGTTGAAAAGAGAAATTTTTTTCTTTTTGGGCCACCCTGCTTCAGTGGGATACAGTCAGTTTGTTGAAAGAAGAAGAAATGTAATAATAATTTAAATAATAATTCTTTTCCACTTCCATGGGAAAGCGGAAAAGAATTCTTTCTCCGTGAGTCGTACGTATTGTAAGCAGTGATTTAAATGCTGGTAGCAAGGGGCTAGTAACTCCTTCTCCTGTATACATTACTAAAGTTAAAAAGAGAGACTTTTGGGGCCACCCTGCCTCAGTGGGATAAGGCAGATTTGTTGAAAGGATAATGATAATTATAATTCAGACCAGCATTTTTTTGTTGGAGTTTCCTTAATTTGTGCCAGTGATGGCCTCTTGATCAAAGAAATTTGACCTAGCCTTTCTTTTCCTTGGTTCTAACATGACTTTTATTTTTAATACACTGGCCATTTCCCACCAAGTCAGGGTAACCCAAAAAAGAAAAACTCACTCACTCACCATTCACTATTAAGTTTAGCTCTTCCTGTGGTGAAGAAATTAAAATAATAATGACTCATTCATGTTTAGAACTTCCCCATGAATATAATATATAAAAAATGTGTTTGTATTATTATTATATTTATAAGGAAATACAAAAACAATAGTGTTCTTTCAAAGAGGTGACTTGATGCTAGTGGAGGGCTCTTTATACAAGGAACTGGAGCTTGCCTTCATTTCCTTGAATCAAACCTATTTTTTTTTTTTTAACGGGCTGACTGTTTCCCACTGAGGCAGGGTGACCCAAAAAGAAAGAAAAAACTTTCATTATTCAACATGTTCACCATCACTCGAACATAATTACTGTCTGCAGAGGCACTCAGATACCTAATTACAGTGGTACCTCAAGTTTCGAAAAGCTCCCAACTCAAACAATTATGTAAGTGTATTTTTGTAAGTGCTTTTGTAAGTGTTTTTTGGGGGTCTGAAACAGACTAATCTAATTTACATTATTCCTTGTGGGAACAAATTCATTCAGTATCGGCACTCGAACAGCCTTCTGGAATCGAGTTCGTAACTTGAGATACCACTGTACCTTCATTAATCCAAGCACTGTAATATTTACAGTTTCAGAACTTAAGCAAATCTAAGATTTTTATATTAATGAGAAAGATAAGTTTGGAACAAAACTTTAAAAACTGTTCAGACCAAGTCTTGGTAGTCACATAATGATAAAATTATGTGACTACCAGCCTTTCATATGATGTCCTACCATCAACACCTTCACATTATGTGGTGCTCAGTAACCCTCATGACTTCTGCACTTTCCAAGAATATAATTACAAAAGAATTATTGCATACACTCATAGGAAAGGATAAACCTTTAAATTTGTGAGTATACAGTACCCTCAGGAAACAGAGGTCAAGAGTCCCATACCAGCATGAAGAAACCTGTATTAATGTTGGTATAATTACTGACAATATGTTAAGTAAAAAGACACAAGTGTGACTAGTGTGACATTTTATTATGGCAACGGCTTGACAAAGCTCCTAGAGAGTGAAATGTTGCCACAATATAATGTCATATTAGTTGCACTTGTGTACTTTTACCTAACATAAAGAAACCTTACTCGAGGGGCCGTAACTATAATTAGAAACTAAACTGTTTATTTGCTATGGCTTGGGTACACTACACCTTACAGTCTGTTGTAAAATTTTTAGTAACTACAGTGGAGCACCAGTTTTCGTCAAATTCAGTTTTCGACGACTTTTTTCGTCAAAATATTGTGCCAGTTTTCGTTCATCACCTAAGTTTTCGTCCACCATACCAAACGTGTCTGCCTGCCAGTACCCACACAAAGCATCCCACGCATGCATTTTGAGTCAGTCTGGCTTTGTTTCTCGTAGTTTAAGTAGTGATGGTGGTAGAGGGTGGTTGTGATGGTGGTAGTGATGGTGGCAGAGGGTGGTAGTGGTTGTGATGGTGGTAGAAGGGGGGTAGTGATTGTGGTAGAGGGTGGTAGTAGTTGTGATGGTGGTAGAGGGGGGTAGTGATGGTGGTAGAGAGTGGTAGAGATAACCTTTCCTCCCTCTCCCTTCCTCGCTGTCTTCCATATGCCAAAAAGAGTCTTCAATAAAGGTAAAAGTGATTTAAATGTATTTCTCATTGTTATCTGTGTGTAAAACTATAGTTATTCTCTATAAAATGTATTTTTTGTCAATATTTTTGGGTGTCTGGAATGGATTAATTAGATTTACATTATTTCTTACGGGAAATATTACTTCAGTTTTCATTGAATTCGGTTTTTGTCAGATTCTCTGGAACAGATTAAAGATGAAAACCGAGGTTCCACTGTGTTACATGGTCTTACGCTTGAGTGTATCTATTGCAATGCAATGTCTATCTGTTCAAAAGGAGCTATGAAATAAAATAACCACAAATCATGCAAATAAAAGCCCACACTTCATACTTCATTTTCCTGAGGTAGCTTTATGGCATTCGCTAATACAGTAGTTTTTAATTATACCCATTCTTCACTTATTCAGACTTCCTACAATAAATACATTCACCACTCATTTTAAAATATTTTAGTACTTAGCTTATAGTAAGTAATATGTGCACTGTATATGCATTTTTTTTAGGCCTACCTCTATTGTCACTTAATATATGTTAGCATAAACATGTTATCAAACTTTTATATGCATTTGAAAGTGAAAAAAGGCGGTTTCACTTTACAGTGGTAGCCTGGAACCTAATCTGCTGTACAGGCAGGGCCTTCCTGTAATAACAATACAATCAGGAGGGATGCACTAAATCATACAGTGCATGAGAAATGTCAGTTAGGTTCAAGAAAGGAAAGTATATATTCCCTTAGTAAGTAAGTTTATTCAGGTATACACAAATACAGTTACATAGAATTATCATACATAGCAGCATATGTGTAGAGAACCTAGGATAACCCAAAAAAGTCAGACAGAGTGACTTATTTCCATTGGAGTCCCAGGATCAAAGAGGAACTGTGAATGATATTCCTTCTGAGACTGCTCAAATATAGAATAAAGGCATCAGGGAAAGTACTTGAGGTTACTGGAGCAAATATACTTTGGTTGCTATCTCTGCCCATGAAAACTGACACAGTAATAACAAAACAGGGTATTGGGAGGGAAAAAGGAAGGGTAGAAGAGAAAATATAAATACAGTGAATAAATTAATAAAAAAATATTTTATCTTAAAAGATATAAGAAAAATAGAACATAACAATTTAATGGTTCAGTTTAACAGATGGTCTCGCCAATAGTTATCAAGACTGTGCAGCAACATACCCCTAACAGGAGATTCCTAGACACTGGTGAGGGGCTCTTGATGCAAGGAATTGAATCTGGTGGCCTTCTCCAAGCATTATATGACATGTGAGTTTAATGATTTCCCTATAATAATAATAATGCACTGCATTATGAAGATATTTGTAAATGTATAAATGTATATTCAAGAAATAAAATCTACAGTATAATTTAGTAGAAAATATGTTTAAGCACATTATCAATCATAAATATATGCACAAACAGTTTACCAAGAGGTAGGTCATATCTTTTCCCTGCTAATGGAGGTAACAGATGTGCTTACAATATTTACAAATAATTTAGCTAGACCGATGCCTCAAATGAAAGTTCACAACATAGTCTGCATTTGCTCTTTGAACTGAGATAGTAAATGGATCTGCAGGGTGAAATGTAAATGCTACAAGCCTCCGGGCAGTTGCTGACTGAGCGGTGGATCCTGGAAGTTCGACTCGTTCTGCGTTGATACAGAATTTGATCAAGCCTGAATCACGACCATAAAACCTGAAAGGAATGATAAACTATACTTTTCAGAGGTAAGTAATGAGACATGAGATAAAGAATCATTAAAAGTCACTCACTGTAGCATCCTCTAAGGGAAAGTGGTGCCTTGATGCCAGTGAAAGGCTTTTGCTTCAAGGAATTGAACCTACCCATCCTTTCCTTGGATAAAATCTAATTACCTCCCATTCATCAGGCACTATATGATGCCTATGGGTTTAACATCCCTTTTCACCCTATTATACACTGTTTCCAAATCCATAACTAAAACAGTTCTATACCCTTATCTTAGTACTGCTCACTTAAGAACCTTCTACAAAAACATGGTCCACACATGCCCTTTCATTTCTAAATCTACCTTTCCTGCTGTAGTTGCAATCCTACTTTCTATCCCCTAACTCTTTTTGAAACTGAAAAGCATTAAATAATACCCCTCACAGGAGGTTCCTTGATGCTGCTGAGGGGCTCTTGGTCTGGGGAACTGGATATGTGCTTCAATTCCCTGAATTAAGCCTGAATGTCTTCCATTTATCCCCCCAGGCACTGCATAATCCCAAAGGATAATAAACACAATGAACCCATATGGGGTTACTGGCCACCCAAAATGAACCACAAAGATATCAGAAAAAATATTCTGTCAACATGAGAGTGACAGAGGTAGAATGAAATGATCAGTTACACAATGGGAGCTGGTGAGGGGCTCTTGATTTAGGGAATTGGATCTGTGCTTCGACTCCCTGAATTAAGCCTGAGTGCCTTCTATCCCCCCTCCCCTCCACAGGCACTCTATAATCCTTATGGGTTGAACACCCCCCACATAATAATAATAAAAATGGGTGTGACAGTAGATATGGCAGACCTTTTTCACATCAGTTGGATAAAAACTGTTAAACCTCACTTTTCTCTACAAAATATAGATAATTACGCTTGCAGATATAAGCTTTAACCCTTAAACGGTCCAAACAGATCGACGTTCAAATCCGTTATGCTCCAAAGTAGATCTACGTTTTTTTTACATATTTTCAAATATAACCAAAAAAAAAGTAATTAAAAGTTTTTTTTACACATTTTCAAATGTAAAACAAGAAAGAAGATCTACATTTTTTTACATACTTTCAAATGTTGAAGAAACGTGTATATATATATATGTTTGGACCATTTAAGGGTTAAACATCATAAAAGAGAAACAGTGATCATAAAACAGAAACATTAATTTATGAAAACTAACAATGCACAGCTGTAGGAAATAATAAAACTTTTTAAAGGTGTATTCATGCACATGACCAAGTGAAATGGATTTCTTCATTAAAAAAATCCATAAAAAGAAATCAAATAACAAAATCCCTCATTCATTTGCTACCATATATAGAAAAAAGTACCTAATAGGATGATCTGCACAGTTCTTGGGTCGTTCCATTACCGAGACCCATTTGTCGTCGTATGAGAAAAGTGTCAAATCCAAGTACGGAGAAGCTGAGAATGACTGAGCTGAGATTGGCAATTGGCCCAAGAGTCGTTTTGTTGCCTCGGTGATGCCGCCGCCACGAGCGTTGATGATCGTTTTCTTGAACCTTTTGTGAATCAACCTGAAAAAAGCGTATCTTTTAAAATTCAAAATCAAAGCTTTATTTCTTGTGGTACAAAAATAATGTAGTTTACATGTAATAAAACATTGATAAGCATAAAAAAAAGCCAGTAATATGCAAAGCATACATTACCAGAGAGAGTACACAATAATTTGCTCAGAAAAGCATTATACAGTGGAACGTCCACTCGCGAGCACATCCACGTGTGAGTTTTTACAAATACGAGTAGTCAATCGGTCAATTTTTTGCTTCTATACCCGAGCGAAATTTCCATAAGCGAGCAGGCCTCAATGGAGGTTTCTTGACGCTGGTGAGGGCTCTTGCTCTTGATCTAGGGAATTGGATCTCATTTGTTTGTTGGACTATCTTATTGAAACTTGGGCAATGTATAGTGGAAAGATGCTTCTAAACGTACACCAAAAATGAAAGAAATCAGACCATAAATAATGGAGTTCACTTCTCAGCAATTAGCTACCCCTTAGAAGTATTTTCATATGGTTTTTATGGTTGTATTCTCATTTTTTTTGGTCTCATTTGATAGAATGGAAGATATATTACAGAAATAGATATGATTTTGATTGGTTTCACAAAGAAAAGTACCTTGAAATTGAGCTCAAAATAGCAGAAATGTGCGATTCTTTGGCGATGTTCAAGAGTAAACAAATGACGTCACTGTCCATTTCAATATGCAGTCATGAATGGGTTGACATTATTTATACAATTATTACAATAATGCAGTAGTCTGCATAACAGTAAATCTTCTATTTTTTGTGTGAATAAAAATTACAAATTATTTATATTGCAATAAAAATAATAATAAAAATAATAATCATAATAATAATAATAATACATATAATAATAATGTAGTATAATAATATAATACAGTGGTACCTTGGTGTATGAACTAAATTCGTTCCTGAAGGCTGTTCGAGTGACGATACTGAACAAATTTGTTCCCATAAGGAATAATGTATATTAGATTAATCTGTTTCAGACTCCCAAAAATACACTTAAAAAAACTTACATAAATAAACTTACATAATTGTTCAAGTTTTGAGCTGTTTGTATCCCAAGGTACCACTGTACGTATAATAATAATATAATTTGTATAATAATAATAATAATATAATTTGTATAATAATAATATATGTATAATAATAATGAACTATATAACAATAATTATAATAATAAACGCCTTCAAAAGTGTTTACCAAAACAAAGTGGGGCGATTGTGGCTGCCTCCACCTGTTACAAATGACATATTTTATTCCTTCTATGTTATTTACATTGTTGAACTGTGATGGATAAATAAACCGTAGAGTTGATATAAGCAAAATTATTCGAGTATTTTGTCCTTTCCCAGACAAACTCTCGTCCACTGCCGATGCCGCCCATACCACCACACGAATGGCATATTTTATTCATTCTAGAGTATATATCAGGTTTCTATGTTATTTATATTGTTTATTATGTCATATTAGATGAAATGTGATAGATAAATAAGCTGTATAGATGACATTAGCGAAATATTGAAGTACAGTGGACCCCCGGTTAATGATATTTTTTCATTCCAGAAGTATGTTCAGGTGCCAGTACTGACCAAATTTGTTCCCACGTTCCCATAAGGAATATTGTGAAGTAGATTAGTCCATTTCAGACCCCCAAACATACACGTACAAACGCACTTCCATAAATACACTTACATAATTGGTCGCATTGGGAGGTGATCGTTAAGCGGGGGTCCACTGTATCTTGTCGTGCCTCCTGAGAGCCGGGAATGAATTAATTGCATTTCAATTAATTTAAATGAGGAAAACTGACTCTGCAAATGAGCAAATCCAGATGCGAGCAAGGTTATGGAATGGATTAAACTCATGAGTGGAGGTTCCACTGCATGTTATAAAATGCTACAGATACAAAACAAGCACATGAGTACTGATACTGTACTTTCACTTTGTCATATGCACAAGAAAATGCTCAACCCTCATGAGTCATACAGAGACTACCAGTATCAGTAACTCATTAATTTCCATGAATGGTCAAAATATAGCTGAGATCCAACTGAAAGGATAAAAAACAAATATACCTTGGGCCAATTGAAACATTCTGAACTTACATGCAATGACTTTTGTTTGTTTACAGTAAGTACACAACCACCTGGCTTCAATTGACTTTTAACCCTTAAATGGTCCAAATGTATATATACATTTTTTCAACATTTGAAAGTACAGTGGAACCTCAAAAATCGAACTGCTCCCAACACGACCAATTATGTAAATGTATTTTTGTAAGTGCTTTTATAAGTGTATTTTTGAGGGTCTGAAATGGACTAATCTAATTTACATTATTCCTGATGGAAATAAATTCATTCGGTAAAGGCACTCGAACAGCCTTCTGGACTGAAGAAAGTTTGATATTTGAGGTTCCACTGTATGTAAAAAATGTAGATCTTCTTTCTTGTTTTACATTTAAAAATGTGTAAAAAAAACTTTTATCTACATTTTTTTTTTTTTTTTTTTTTTGAAAATATGTAAAAAAACGAAGATCTACTTTTGGAGCACTACGGACTTGAACGTCGATCTGTTTGGACCGTTTAAGGGTTAAAGTACAATAATACGACAGGAAAACTATAAGTATTTCCCTACGCTGATGATCTGAGGAATTGGAGCTACCCTTCCCTTCCACAGATCAAGCCTAATAACCACCCATTCTCCAGGTGTTGTATGACTCTTTTGGGCTAAGCACTTTACCATGAAACTATTACGTACTACTACTACTAATAATAATAATAATAAACCTTTCCCTTAATGAAGGTATTATCACTGTCACATTCACTGTAGAGATTCACAAAGTAGAATATTAAACATTCTACACACTACACTACTTTTCACAAGTGACAGCCTTGCAGCTTTTTAGTAATAAGTGCCTGAATATAGCAAATTTCTAAAAAATAGACAAAACCACCTTGTAAACTATATTTAATTTTCATTTATAATTGCAGTAATCTTTATGTGCAGAACCATACAGCCTCTCCTCACTTAACGACAGAGTTCCGTTTCTAAGACCACGTCATTAAACAAATTCATCACAAAGTGAGGAGCATACTATAATGGTAGTGAGTTGTTTTAATGTCACCTTTGCACCATTTATAACATTTCTGGTATATTTTTAAATGTTTATACAGTAGTGTATTGTATATTGAAATAAACAGAATAGAAGAAATCAGCTGTAACATAGTACATAATTTAGGTATAAATACTGGTCAGAGAGCCCGTCGTAAGTCCGAGGCGTCAGTAAGTGAGGAGAGGCTGTATTAAATATACAACAGAGTATTATGGTGCTTTTTATGTGATTTTTTTTTTAATAGTATTCTGATTTAACAAACACTCGGATAATTTCCCCTATTATACCATTACATAAAGGGTTTGCTTCTAGTATGACTCTCCAACTGTTTCCTAGATTCCCTTTATTTTAATCCACCTGCTCTCCACATATCATAATGGACAAATAGGGAGGAATGGGCAGCTGGTAATGGTGAGTGGGGTGGATAGAGATGTGAGTGGCTTGCTATGACAGTAGAAGTAAGAGAAATTTTTTTAACCAACAGACTTTGTTATTTCTGAATTAACTGATCTAATGGATTTTGTCCTGTATTTCTGAAGTTCTTTAAATAATGTCCATCTCCCACCAAGGGAGGGTGACCCAAAAAAGAAAAGGAAAGATTTTCACCATCATTTGTTCAATCACTATATTGCCAGAAGTATGCTTATATGACAGTTCAGATGACCCTCTGAACAGCAACATCCCCACCCTATCTTCTGAGTGCCATCACTGTACATATATACATGCACATACATATCTATGTGCAAAAGTATCAGTGACAAAGAAAATGGAAAGAACCAGAGCACTTTCATGAATTCCACACACCTCTTCGAAGACACAGTACTAACCAGAACAAGTAAAATCTGCACACACATAGGAATAAAGTCAGGTGCTGTGAATAAATAAGTGCTTATACACCTACCATCCGACTTGCGACCTGCTCGACTTACGACCACTCGACTTACGACCGTGTTTTTTATGCCAAATTTCTGGGAAATAAACAACTATTTGTGTTGTACACAGTGTTTATCCTAAACCTTACAGTATAAAATACAGTACTAACAACATAAACAGTAAAGTAAAACATGAAATACCAAAATAAAACAATAAAATAAAGTCATTACAAAAATGTTTTGTTGATATTCAGTAGTAAAGTTCGACTTACGACCATTTCGACTTACGACCGGTTTCTCAGAACCGAACTCGGTCATAAGTCGGATGGTAGGTGTACTCATTCTAATATAATAGTCGAGAATCCAACTGACCTAACCTACAGGAGGGTCCTGCTTATTCGGCACCCTCTTTTTGGTTTACCACTTTTTCACTGGTTTTCAGTTAAGCCATTATTCATTATATTCAATGCTTTTTTCCACCATTTCCACACAACAGTTCATAAGGGAAGGGTGACTGGCACCATATTTTAACCCTTTGACTGTTTCAGTCGTATATATACGTCTTAAGAGCCACTGTGCTTGACGTATATATACTCGTAAATTCTAGCGGCTTCAAATCAAGCAGGAGAAAGCTGGTAGGCCCACATATGAGAGAATGGGTCTGTGTGGTCAGTGTGCACCATATAAAAAAAAATCTGCAGCACGCAGTGCATGAGAAAAAAAAACTCCGACCGTTTTTTTCATATAGTATTTATGGTTGTTTTCTCATTTTCTTGGTCTCCTTTGATAGAATGGAAAACATATTATAGAAATAGAGGTGATTTGATTGGTTTTTCTATGAAAAGAACCTTGAAATGGAGCTCAAAGTAGGGGAAATGTTTGATTTTTGCTGTCATTATGATGTCATTATCCAATAAATGTCCAACTAGCCATTCTAATATGCAGTCATGAATGGGTTGACAGTATTTATACAATTATTACAATATTGCAGTAGTCTGCATAACAGTAAATCTTCTATTTTTTGTTTGAATAAAAATTCAAAATGGAAAGCAAGAATAATATCAGAGGGGCCTGGAGATGTGACTGATGAACAAAGAAAATGTTATTTTAGAGCCAGGAATGTCTGCAATGTTCATTCTGGACCCTATTTTGAAATTGGCATATTTTTTTAATTTGTGTGAAATTGGCCAAATTGCCAATTTCTGACCACTTTGTTGGGCAGTTGAAATCTTGTACTCAATCGATAAAACAAATGGAGTTCTAAAGAAATAGTTATGAGTTTGGTCAACTGGAACAATGGAATTAGCCGAAAATAGGGCTCAAAGTGGGTGAAATCGCCGATTCATTAATATTGCCGAGGTTGCTAACTTTGCGAGAGCGTAATTCCATAAGTTTTCCATCAAATTTTATATTTTTGGTGTCATTACCATCGGGAAAAGATTCTCTATCATTTCAAAAGAAAAATTTTTTTTTTTTTTTTTTTAATTTTTGTGACACCAGGAGACTACCTCAGGATTTGGGGCTGTGACAGTCAAGGGGTTAAGGTAAGCATTATATGTACAGCCTCTCCTCGCTTAGAGATGTACTCGTTTACTGACGCCTCGGACTTACGATGGGCTCTTTGACCAGTATTCATACCTAAATAATGTATATTAGTGCTGATTTCCTCTATTCTGTTTATTTCAATATACAGTACACTACTGTATAAACATTTAAAATATTCCAGAAATGTTATAAACAGTGCCACTGTGACATTAAAACAATATCAAAGACGGTTGACACAAACTCACTACCATTATAGTATGTTCCTCACTTAGCTACGAATTCGTTAATGATGTGGTCTTAGGAATGGAACTCTGTCATTAAGTGAAAAGAGGCTGTACTGTACTTTTATTTTACTTTAGTATCTGTTCTCTTATGCCTAGCTGTATTAAGCACTTAATGTATGATAGTGTAAACACATTATTCTGTATTGAAAAAAACAAACTACGTATTTCCACTCACTAGGGGTTGAGAATCTAAAAGCCGTAAAAACAGAGCCCTCCTGTATAGTGCTACAGTAATAAAATATGCTAAAACTGAATTGTGAACAGGTGGAAATGCAGTAAGTGAAGGCATGAAAGATGGTGGTCGTATGTACTAAGAATATGAGAACAAACAATTTTACCTTGCCCAGTTATTATTCGATGGTGAGCACGTGAACTGAGATTCACAGCTCAATCTCGCATTGCGGAAAAAATCTGCCATCTTTTCAAAAAGTTCTAAGAGTTCTGAAGATGTGTTTTTGTAGACTGCAAGAACTTCAGTCGAGATCATGTTGTATACAACAAAAAATGATGGCTGTCCATTTGGTTCGGCAGCTCGAAGAGTGACCACTTCCTCAGAGGCATACTGGTGGGAATGAGATGCATACACAAGCCTTACTAATTGAGGTCACCTATGATAAGCTGCTGCCTACCTCATGCAAATGCGTTCTGGTAATGTAATGCCACAACAAACAGTGAGCAAGGAACTAGTCACAAGAAATAAAATTCAATACAAAAATATTATTGAAACTAAAGCAGAAACCATTTATTTACTCTATATTCTATGTGACAACCTCCAGAACATTTGCTTAAAATGTTTTAAATTATAAATTGCAAGAACTATAAGGAATAAAAATGTTCATACAGGACTGCATTCTACATTTAGCATTGATTTTTTAATACCCTGACCATTTTCTACCAGGGTATTTTTTCAGTCACCAGGGGGTGACTGAAAAAAAAACAGAAAGTACATTCAAGATCATTCATTAAATAGTTTTCTTTTGAATGAATGACATGTTTCCAACTTTTTTTTTTAGGAGGGGGGAGGGAGGGCCCCAACCTTGGTGGGACAGCCAGTGCGATAAAAATTTTTTTAAAAATATTTCACCTTTATAAGTAAGTGAACATCATCTAGAAGCTGCATTTTCCACATGCGAAGGCGGTACAGATGATCAAAGTAGTGACAAAACTCTCGTAGCGCACGGGGGTTACCCTCTTCCATACTAATGGTTTCAGCACGCCGATAAAGAAACACAAGCAGCCTGTAAAATTACTGTAAACGTAAGTTGCTGATTAATTAAAGCTACCAACATCAGCTCTCTCATAAAATACCTCTATATAGTGTATTGAAAAAAATATCAGTCGTATTTACAAAAAATTGCACCTTATAGAAGAGCTTCATAAAAGAGCTGGTTGTATAGAGAAAATTTCATATTAACAAGAACATTCAAGGAATTCATCTTTAAATCATTTTTTACATCAATGGAATTGAATTTTAACCTAACACTTTGTTATTGACCCGGCTTACCTAGCAGTCGGGCCTCCTTGATATCACTGGTTTTAATGTTAACTTTTATCTCATCTTTTATTAGTTGGAGTGCTTTGATGGTGCAATTCTCATTGTTTGTATCTGGTGGTAAGGTAAAGCTGGTTAAAATGACAGAGTCTAGGAGCTTGTCTTGTTCAGTCATCCCTTTGACACTGGAAGCATGCATTCCACTGGGATTCCATGTTTAACTTCCAGTCTTGTGTAGCTTCTGACAGCTTGGTGGTGAGGGAATTTATTTGTTTAGTATGTGTCTATAGCTGAATGTAGGTTTGCTTGTTCTTTAAACGAGTTTATTAATGATGTCAGTTTGTTTTCTAGTTCAATAATCTTTGAGTTTTGTGTCGTAAGATGGCATTCAAGGTCTTTAATCCTCGTGTTTTGGGTATGTAGAGAGTACTCAAGGTCTCCAATGAGTTTTTCATAGGTTTCATTTTGTCGTCTTAGCATACTATTTTCCTGTAGAATTTTATCAATGGAGTTGGGTCGTTGTTGAGGACTGAATTCCTGGGCTATACCTTTGGGTGTTCATGAGTTGTAATCTATGTTGCCGTTTGCGGTGAAGAGATCTCGGGTGTTATCCATAGTCGTAGACAAGTCAGTTTAATCTTAATTTTAAAATAATAAATCCTAACTAGTCATAAGTTTGCCTATGATACTCCAATATAGACACTTTGTATTGTGCCAAAACAAAAGCATTCACATTGCTAAACTCACAAATTATGATGTAGTCACTTAGCCTTAATACCATAATCTGTAAGGATTTAATGTTAAGAATTAATCTAAGTCTGCCCGAAATGCCTAGCCATGCTAGGTGTCTTAGTGGCCCCCTCTGTAATTAGTATTTTATAACATGTAAACCACACAATGCCCAAAACCTGTAAACCCCACATTGTAACCCTTATAGAGAATAAACTTGAATTGTATTGAATTGAATTGATGAGGATAAGTGTTGAGAGAATCCGGAGAAGGTTTTGGAGTCATCCACCATTGTTGTTGTTGTGTTGGTCTGAGTGGGGGTGAAGGGGGTGGAAGATTCGCTGGGGTCCTTCAGGGCAGACATTATGGGTAACAGTTTTCTAGGAGGTTTCGTGTCTATCTTGGTGTTGCTTTTTCTGTTTTTGTATCCCATGAGAACACTAGTGGAGTTGATATGGAGTTATTGTAGTGATAACTGTTGCTTGGCTGAGATTTCATCTGGCAGCAGGCTGGTGTTTGGTAACCCGGGCAGTACATATCAGTACAGTACAGTATCACCATGTGGTTTAGTGGTGACCTATGTAGAATAACTATTTCTACATAGGTCACGGTCAGCTGCTGCTGCACCACCATCAGCTGTTGCTGCACCACCATCAGCTGTTGCTGCACCACCGTCAGCTGTACTACACAAAGATGTGGAGAGACTGTTGTTGGTGTGGCTTAACGAGAAACAATTACTGAGAAACAATTAACCTCAGAGGGTTAGCCACCCAGGATATAGATAAAGAATGAGAAAATGAAGTAAAGACAGATTACAAAGTTTGTGAAAGGGTAAAATTACATGTAGATCAACACAGGTCAGACAGTGATACAGATTAGTGATATGCAAGAAATATATTCAGAGCAGGAATAAAGAAAAAAATGAAAACACCAATCAGTAAACAAAACTGCTGCTGCAACAGAATATGTTGTTGACAAAAAAAAAAAAATGAACTACATACCTGTGTTTAAGACAATTAATTATTTTCTCTCTAACATGCTGATAACTCCATTGCATTCGATCCGTGCAGACCGTGGCCAGCAAGTAGTCATCATCCTCGTAGCAAACTCTGCCAATTGTGCGAACGTCTAAGAAGCATCCATCTTTTGTTATCTGAAAAATATAAAATCCTATAATATCAGGAAAGAGTGAACATAAGAAATAGCAAGGTGGCAAGAATAACAAAAAATCTGAGCACTGAAAGAATGGATATCAGATTGGATGGAGGGAGTATGGAGGAAATGAATGTATTCAGATATTTGGGAGCAGACATGTCAGGATATCTGTATTCATTAAAAAAAATTCTTGTCGCATTAATCTGGCATCAAAGCATACTCACAAGGCAACAGAATAAAACATATTTTACCTGAAATATGTGTATGGTTTGATGCTGTACAGAAAGAACGGCAAGTGTCTGTCGGTACAAGTAAAGCCCTTGGTTATGAGAAAGGAATATCTTATCATGCAAGAATGTCCTGGAATCACAGAGTCGGCCCATTTCAATGTCAACAATATGAAGTGTGTAGTCTTCAAGAGGAGAGCGAGGGTTTGGGGTAACCGATTCATTATTTCTGTACATATCGAAGTGGTCGATGCTGTTGACATCATCAATGGCAGCAGATCCAACAATAACATACCTGAAATGTATTCATACTATAATTTCATCTTGAGATACTGTCTACTTTATATACTATACAAAACCAGTTTAATGAACCATTCGGAGGTAAAAAAATTAATTAAGGCTAAAACAATTAACACAAAATTACTTTCCATATTACACAGCTAAATACTGTTTCTACATACTTGCCATCATCCGTGAAAAGGCTGCATTCACGATTAAGTTGTTCACCATTTGTTGCAACAGTCACAGTGTGTTTCAGCTTGAAGAAACTATCAAAAATATTCCTACGAATTTCATGGGTTTTTGGATCATTTTCTTTAAGGACAGATGTACTCTGCAAGGAATCAATGCCAGTTACAATTTAAAGGAAGTACAGTATTCTGAATAAGCCACAGAATCATCAGATTTATGCACATGAATCAGTGGGAGACAGCCAGAGTTAAAAAAAAAAAAAAATTATGAAATACATGGAAACTAGTGTTTCAATTCAGCCTGTGCCATTCTCCATCACACTAAAAATGGTTCAGGACGGACTGAAATGTCATCTAGTTAGTTTTCTGTTTCAATTTGTGGATAAGGTTATGAAGTGCTCCAGTTAGAGAATTTTGGCTTTTATTACTCGTGTTCATAGCATGCTCGAAACTGCCTACTGTATCATCTTTTGATGACTCAGGAAAATGGTGGAAAATTATATTTTTATTAAGTTCTTTATTCTCTAGTGCAAACAACTAAATGCAGTACACTGTCATTTTTATATATATACAGTGGAACCTCGGTTTACACGATAAATTTGTCAGAAAGTCTGACGAAAACCAAACTGTACGAAAACTGAAGCAATATTTCCCATAAGAAATAATATAAATCCAATTAATCCGCTCCAGACACCCAAATATTAACAAAAAATACATTTTATAGAGAATAACTATAGTTTTACATAAGAAAACAATGAGAAATAAACATAAATGACTAATGAAATGGATAAATGAACATTTAACATCACTTTTACCTTTATTGAAGACTTGTTAGCATATGGAAGACAGGAAGGAGGGGAGAGGGAGGAGGAAAGGTTATTGTTTAGAAGGGTAATCCCCCTCCATAAGGATTTCAGGTATCAAGGCTCTATCCAGAGTTACTTCCCTTCTTTGTCTTTTACTGGCACTAGGACCAGCTTGAGAGTCACTGGACCTGTGGCACAAAAAATCTGTCCAGAGTGGTCTGTTTCTGGCATCTCTTTAAGATTTGCCTAAAATGGGACAAGGCATTGTCACTGAACATGTTGCAGACACAGCATGCAACAGCTTTGTAAGGGTGATATTTCTCCACAAAACTTTGCAACTCATTCCACTTTGTGGATAAGGTTATAAAGTGCTCCAGTTAGAGAATTTTGGCTTTTATTACTCGTGTTCATAGCATGCTCGAAACTGCCTACTGTATCATCTTTTGATGACTCAGGAAAATGGTGGAAAATTATATTTTTATTAAGTTCTTTATTCTCTAGTGCAAACAACTAAATGCAGTACACTGTCATTTTTATATATATACAGTGGAACCTCGGTTTACACGATAAATTTGTCAGAAAGTCTGACAAAAACCAAACTGTACGAAAACTGAAGCAATATTTCCCATAAGAAATAATATAAATCCAATTAATCCGCTCCAGACACCCAAATATTAACAAAAAATACATTTTATAGAGAATAACTATAGTTTTACATAAGAAAACAATGAGAAATAAACATAAATGACTAATGAAATGGATAAATGAACATTTAACATCACTTTTACCTTTATTGAAGACTTGTTAGCATATGGAAGACAGGAAGGAGGGGAGAGGGAGGAGGAAAGGTTATTGTTTAGAAGGGTAATCCCCCTCCATAAGGATTTCAGGTATCAAGGCTCTATCCAGAGTTACTTCCCTTCTTTGTCTTTTACTGGCACTAGGACCAGCTTGAGAGTCACTGGACCTGTGGCACAAAAAATCTGTCCAGAGTGGTCTGTTTCTGGCATCTCTTTAAGATTTGCCTAAAATGGGACAAGGCATTGTCACTGAACATGTTGCAGACACAGCATGCAACAGCTTTGTAAGGGTGATATTTCTCCACAAAACTTTGCAACTCATTCCACTTTGCACATATGTCCTTAATCACTGAAGAAGGCACATTCTTCTCTCTCTCTTCCTCCTCCTCTAAAGCAGTTTCCTCAGCTGTAGTCACTTTCATACTTTGCTACTTTCCACTTTCCACTTTGCCACTTTCATACTTTGCTATGAGATTTTTCTTGAATTCTATCATGTTTCTCGCCTTCTTTATCAAAGGGCTGGCACTCGGAACTTTCTTTGGTCCCATGGTGGCTTATTTAGCAGTCACATTCAATAAACAATTACAAAAAACAATGGATTATTACGAAATGTTATCCGAACGTGTGGGGTAATGCTCACTCAACGAGAAACAAACCCAGACTGAGTCATAACACGTGGGATGCTTTGTGTGGGTGTGGGCAGGTGGACATGTTTGATACGTCAGACTATTGTCAACTCTACGAAAACCGAGCAGATGTACAAAAACTGGGACAAAATTTAGATGAAAAAAGTCATCGAAAATTGAATCCTACAAAAACCAGGACATACGAAAACCGAGATTCCGCCATATATATATATTACTGTACCCACGAACAAGTGGTACTGATCAATAACAACACTGCAACTAGCCAAGAAGTCGAACTCATGCTGCTTTGGCCTGCCTCATGGTGGGCGAAAACTCATGATGCCTTAATCCACGGGACCACACAATCCTTAAGAGTAGCGCATCTAGCAGAACTGGATGTTGTACTCGCTACCCAAGGACATACATATATATACACATACATACATACATACAGTTTCTCCTCACTTAGCGACGTACTCATTTACTGACGCCTCAGACTTATGACAGGCTCTCTGACAAGTATGCATACCTAAATTATGTACAGTGGAACCTCAAATTTTGAACTTAATCTGTTCCAGGAGCTAGTTCTAAATTCGAAAAGTTTGAAAGGCAAAGCAATATTTCCCATAAGAAATAATGGAAATACAATTAATCCGTTCCAGAAACCCAAAAATATTCACAAAAAAATACATTTTATAGATAGTTACATTATAGTTTTACATACAACAAATATAGTGTACAATTATTAACAAATTTAAATAAACATATACAATAACATTTTTACTTACCTTTATTGAAGATTGGTGATGGCATCTGGAAGATAGGGAGGAAGAGAGAGGGAGTTGGGGGTTAGTGTTTGGAAGGGGAATCCCCCTCTATAAGGACTTTAGGTGTCAAAGCCCCCTCTGGGGTTAGCATATTAACACCTTTCACAACATCAGCTTCCTTAATTAGTTCTTTCTTTGCCAGGATAGAAGCGATGGTCGACTTGTTTGTCCAATACATCCTGGCAAGCTCAACAAGTCTCACACCACTCTCATACTTCTGTATTATTTCCTTCTTCACATCTATGGTGTTTCTCACTTTCTTTACCACAGGGGTGCCACTAGCAAGTTTCTTTAGGCCCATGGTAGCTTATTTCACAGTCCCACAGGCACTAAACACAATGAATTAATCATAAAATGTTTGAATGAGACCACAGGTTAGTGTTCACTCAAGCATCAAGCAGCTCGAAAATAGGGGCGAGTTCAATAGAGGCTGGTTCGAAAAAAGCGGTTGATTTTCAAAGAGCTCAATAAGCGTTATGTTCAAAATTTGAGGTTCCACTGTATATTAGTGCTGATTTCCTCTATTTTGTTGATTACAATATACAGTACACTACTGTATAAACATTTTAAAATTTTATTTATTTATTAACACATCGGCTGATTCCCACCAAGGCAGGGTGGCCCGAAAAAGAAAAACTTTCATCATCACTCACTCCGTCACTGTCTTGCCAGAGGGGTGCTTTACACTACATTTATAAAACTGCAACATTAACACCCCTCCTTCAGAATGTATAACAGAAATGTTATAAATGATGCAAAGGTGACATTAAAACAATATCAAAGAAGGTTGACACAAACCCACTACCATTATAGTATGTTCCTCAATTAGTCACGAATTTGTTTACCAACGTGGTCTTAGGAACGGAACTCCATCATTAAGTGAGGAGAGGCTGTGTATATATACATTATATATCTTTCTTTCAACACACCGGCCATATCCCACCGAGGTGGGGTGACCCAAAAGAAAAAACACAAGTTTCTCCTTTTACATTTAGTAATATATACAGGAGAAGGGGTTACTAGCCCCTTGCTCCTGGCTTATGGAGGAAGAATTCTGTTCCAATTCCCCATGGAGGTAAGAGGAGATAAACAGGAACAAGAACTAGAAAGAAAATAGAAGAAAACCCAGAGGGGTGTGTATATATTCGCTTGTACATGTATGTGTAGTGTGACCTAGTGTAAGTAGAAGTAGCAAGACGTACCTGAAATCTTGCATGTGTATGCGACAGAAAAAAAAGACACCAACAATCCTACCATCATGTAAAACAATTACAGGCTTCCGTTTTACACTCACTTGGCAGGACGGTAGTACCTCCCTGGGCGGTTGCTGTTTACCAACCTACTACCTAGGATATATTATACATATATATTCTTTCTTCTTTCAACACACCGGCCGTATCCCACCGAGGCGGGGTGGCCCAAAAGGAAATATGAAAGTTTCTCCTTTTACATTTAGTAATATATACAGGAGAAGAGGTTACTAGCCCCTTGCTCCTGGCATTTTAGTCGCCTCTTACAACACGCATGGCTTACGGAGGAAGAATTCTGTTCCACTTCCCCATGGAAGTAAGAGGAAATAAACAAAAACATTAACTAGAAAGAAAATAGAAGAAAACCCAGAGGGGTATGTATATATATGCTTGTACATGTATGTGTAGTATGACCTAAGTGTAAGTAGAAGTAGCAAGATGTACCTGAAATCTTGCATGTTTATAAAACAGAAAAAAGGACACCAGCAAACCTACCATCATGTAAAACAATTACAGTGGACCCCCGCATAACGATCACCTCCGAATGCGACCAATTATGTAAGTGTATTTATGTAAGTGCGTTTGTACGTGTATGTTTGGGGGTCTGAAATGGACTAATCTACTTCACAATATTCCTTATGGGAACAAATTCGGTCAGTACTGGCACCTGAACATACTTCTGGAGTGAAAAAATATCGTTAACCGGGGGTCCACTGTACAGGCTTTCGTTTTACACTTACTTGGCAGGACAGTAGTACCTCCCTGGGTGGTTGGTGTCTACCAACCTACTACCTACATATATACATACGTACATACAGCCTCTCCTCACTTTATGATGGAGTTCCATTCCTAAGACCACGTCAGTAAACAAATTCGTTGCTAAGCAAGGAACATACTATAATGGTACTGAGTTTATGTCAACCATCTTTGATATTGTTTTAATGTCACCTTTGCACCATTTATTAACATTTTTAGTATATTTTTAAATGTTTATACAGTAGTGTACAGTATACTGTAATAAACAGAATAGAGAAAATCAGCTCTAACATACATTATTTAGGTATGCATACTGGTCCGAGTCGTTGGTAAATGAGTACGTCGCTAAGTGAGGAGAAGCTGTATATATATTTAACATGTCAGCTGTCTCCCACCAAGGCAGGGTGAACCAAAAAAAAAAAAAAAAAAAAAAAAAAAAAACGTTCTCCATCATTCACATATAATCAGTCTTCGCAGAGGCACTCAGATGTGACAGTTTACATGTCACTCCAAACAGCCAATATCCCAAACCCCTCCTTTAAAGTGCAGGCACTGTACTTCCCACCTCCAGGATTCAAGTCTGGCTAACTGGTTTCCCTGAATCCCTTCACAAAATATTACCCTTCTCACACTTTAACAGCTCGTCAGATCCCAAAAACCATTCATCTCCATTTACTTCTATCTAACATGCTCGTACATGTTTGCTGCACATCCAAGCCCCCTTGCACACAAACCTCTTTTACCCCCTTCCTTCATCCTTTCCTAGGCTGACCCCTACCCCACCTCTGCTCCAGTATAGATTTTACACCCTCCAAGTCATCCTATTTTGCTCCATCCTCTCTAAATGACCAAACCACTTCAACAAACCCTCTTCAGCCCTCTGAATAATACTTTTAGCAACTCCATACCTCCTAATTTCCACACTACATGACATCTCCGCTGCCTCCAGCCTCCTCCTTGCTGCAGCATTTACAACCCATGCTTCACACCCATATAAGACTGTTGGTACCATTTTGCCTCCATGGATATCTTTTTTTTGTATTTATACTGTGCAGGTATTCATACAACTCAACCTAAGACAATACAGTGGACCCCCGCATAACGATCACCTCCGAATGCGACCAATTATGTAAGTGTATTTATGTAAGTGCGTTTGTACGTGTATGTTTGGGGGTCTGAAATGGACTAATCTACTTCACAATATTCCTTATGGGAACAAATTCGGTCAGTACTGGCACCTGAACATACTTCTGGAGTGAAAAAATATCGTTAACCGGGGGTCCACTGTATAATGTTATAATGTCAGGATCCATTGTGCATGAGGCACAGACTCCTACATGATTGTTGAGTGCATTGTGTTGGGTGATTACTATGAGCTTATTCAGTCCTTTTTCCATTCTCCTGAGAAAGACATTCTTATCAATCATCTCCAGATGAAAACTGCACATTTTAGGAAGATTGGTTATACATGTACATAGTACTGTACAAAGACAAATCCCAGCCACATATAACACACCAAGGTAGTTTGCACCTATTCTGATTCAACACCATACTGATGCATATTTCATTACAATGATGTTTCTTAAATGAACATGACTCCAAAATAAAATAATAAATGCATTGTAGTCTTGGGACTGAGTTTGTGTTTCATAAAATATTAGCATGAGGAATAAAATGAAATACAACGTGACACGAAATCGTAATGACACAACTGCAAACAAACCATAAGACGGGCAGGGATAGAACCCACGATCAGAGAGTCTCAAAACTCCAGACCGTCACGTTAGCCACTGGACCAGCTAGCCACAATAAGATTCGTCCAACTAGGTATATTTCTACACCATAGGAAAGTTAGCATAGGCACCACTGTGACCACAAATGCAAGTTTTTACAGACGAATCTCCAGCTAGCGTGGCTGTGGCGAACTCTAGCTCAAGTCCCCTCAAAGCCATCAACATGACTCATGAAATTGTAATGACATGACTGCAAACAAACCATGCCACGGGCGGGGATAGAACCCGCGATCAGAGTCTCAAAACTCCAGACCGTCATGTTAGCCACTGGACCAGCTAGCCACAGTGGTGCCTATGCTAACCTTCCTATGGTGTAGAAATATACCTAGTTGGATGAATCTTATTGTGGCTAGCTGCTCCAGTGGCTAACGCGACAGTCTGGAGTTTTGAGACTCTCTGATCGCGGGTTCTATCCCTGCCCGTGGTATGGTTTAATGAAATACAAGTCTCAGAATCCACATTACAACGATTATTACTACAGACCCTCCATGGGAAAGTGGAGAAGAATCCCTCCTCCGTAAGCCATGCATGTCATAAGAGGCAACTAAAATGCCAGGAGCAAAGGGCTAGTAAACCCTTCTCCTGAATAAATTACTAAATGTAAAAAGAAGAAAAACTTTTGTTCCTTCTTTTTTGGGTCACCCTGCCTCAGTGGGAGACAGCCAATATGTTAAAAAAAATTACTAAATAGAAAGGTAATACTACAAATCACTCTAGTTTACCTCACACCAATGTAATAAGTCGGCAGCAGCAGATGGTCCCATGTACCGGAAGATTTCTATGCTGGTTTGGTCTGCAGAAAAAGCAATCAGGAATCTGAAAAGAAAGAAATGAAAAGAAAACACTCACACAAGCAATAGAAAAACAGGAATAGGATACAAGAGGAAACTGTAAGAGAGTTACAACCACTGGAAATTTGTAAAAATGACATGATAAAATAGCCACTGAGCTTAGCTGTTCCTACAGGCACTGAATAGAGGACACAACAACCACAGCTCTGATACTCTAGTTACAAACACTGCAGACAGAATGCTGCAAGTATAGCTCTACTACTGTATCTATAAATGGGTAATCACAACAACCATTGTTGAAAAAAATGCAAGATCTAAAAACTGCAAACCTGAAGATTAAATATTTAATCTTTGAGTTGGTGCTAGGCTTCAGCTTAATTATTAAATGCTAAAATATTTTTTTAATCTATTTTAAAAGGCAATTTTCATTTATTAATGTTGCATGCTAAAGTCTGAGGAATTCTGTAATGCCCTAAGCAAACATTTTGTGCTGATGAAATTCAGCCATCTGATACTTAGTTCATTCAAGTAGCAAACAGTTATTATTATTATTATTATTATTATTATTATTATTATTATTATTATTAATTATTATTATATACACAGGGACATGCTAAATCCAGAACGGTGAAAGGGGCTTCAATTCCTTGCATCAAGAGCCATTTTCAGCACTAGGATACTTCCCCTTGAAGATAAAAGTATTAAATGCTGCAGCTAAACAAATTAATGAAGTTACTCCAGATTAAACTTAAAAATAATAATAATAATCTTCATTTCTACAAGTACATGTACAAGGTATATAGGCCTAGCTGACATCAATGACATACTACTACATGTATATAGAAAGCCACTTGTTATGCTGAGCATTTCAGGCAAATTAAATCAATTTTGTATTAATACTGGTAGAATTATCAACAATATGTTAAGTATACATAAGAGGACACAAGTGCAACTAATGTGACATTTTATTGTGGCAACATTTCGCTCTCCAGGAGCAAAACGTTGCTTGACAAAGCTCCTGGAGAATGAAACATTGCCACAATAAAATGTCACATTAGTTGCACTTGTGTCCTTTTACTTAAATCAATTTCGTCTCCAGGATGCGACCCACACCAGTCAACTAATACCCAGGTACCTATTTTACTGGCAGGTGAACAGGGACAGTAGGTGTCTTAGGGAAACCCTGTCTTAATGTTTCTACCCATAGCGCTGAGTGCGCTAGCAATCGACCAGAACATTAATGCTAAGAGGGCTCAAGACTTCAATAACAGAAAAATTATTGAGAAACTATAATTAATTTAATTTCCAATTACAGGCAAACTGCAATTAATTCACATTTCCCAAAAACCTTACCTTCCATCAGGACTAAATTTCCTCAGGAAACATGGTGGCTTCTGAACATTTGTTACAGTAAAGTTCGGCGAGACATTTTGGTAGAAGAATCGGTCAGTATGTAACTGACAGTGTGACTGCTTGTGTATCTCACGATGGAAAAGCCGGACAACTAGGTTTTGAGGTGGGATTCGTTGTACAGATATGCCAAGTTCTGTATTCACCATGTCCCCCAAAGCTCTGTGGAGAATCCCTAACAGTACCATTAAGAGTGACTGTACAAAATAATGACAAAGAATATAATCAACTGATTAGGGATGTAAAGTCGGAAAATGCAACTACATACATGAAAACTAATTAAGTGTACTAACAGGGAACAAATACCTTTATCACAAACATTAACACAAATCCAAGTAAGTCAAAATTATATACCTTAAAATTTAAATATAAAGTACAAGCAGAAATATGGATGTGTTTGAAAATTTGCAGGCAAAACTCAAATTATATGCACCTCTGGTAATTAGATTTTGGACATTTTGCCTAAAATCAATAATTTTTTTAGGAATTCCTGAAGATTACCTTCAGATATTTTCAGGTGATCTGCTCTCATCATCTAGCCTGAAACTTACTCAGGCTGTTGGTGTTTAGATCTTCCCAGATAACATAGGCATCACTACCATACTGATCCGTTAGGTCCTGTTAAAAAGAGAATATGTATATTGGATTTTAAAGTAATTGAGTAATATTGAGAAATATTTTACTAAATAAGAAAAAGACCAGATTTGCATTAGTAACCTCAGAGGGTCAGTAACTCAGCATAACCTAGGCAAAGAAAGAATTTGGATCTTTCTGGTCCAAATTTTATCCACAAGACTTTGCCAACTCCTGAGTATTTATTTACAGCTGGATAACATGGGCATCTGATGACAGAATTATTATTATTAAAATCAAAACTAAGCGCTACAACCACAAGTCTGGTGTTAAAAGACTTGCCCTAATGTCTCTTCCCACCAGGATTACCTAGGATAACCCAAAAAAGTCAGAAAAAGAGGTATTTCTAATTCTATCTAATATCAAACATCTAATTCTATCTAATAATATCTAATTCTATCAAAATCTATACCAAGAGTATATAGTCTAAGTGCTTCTAAGCATCCTAGATATTTGGGTGAATCAATACATGAAGTTAAACTTCTTGAAAGAAACAAGACATTTTCTTGAAAATGTTTATTATTATTATTATAATCAAAAAGAAGCGCTAAGCCACAGCATTGAAAATGTTTAGATCTTGGGACCTCGGCCACTCCAAACGTGGAGTGACTGAGGCCCCAGCACCAAAATGTTTCCAACGAAATGCCCAAGGAGATAAGTTACTCTTGACTTTTTTGGGGGTTATTCTAGGTAAGTTACACTATGTATGATAACTGTACTTATATGTATCACACTATATATGATAACTGTACTTATATGTATCACACTATATATGATAACTGTACTTATATGTATCACACTATATATAATAACTGTACTTATATGTATCACACTATATATGATAACTGTACTTATATGTATCACACTATACATGTATATAACTGTACTTATATGTATCACACTATATATGATAACTGTACTTATATGTATCACACTATATATGATAACTGTACTTATATGTATCACACTATATATGATAACTGTTCTTATATGTATCACACTATATATGATAACTGTACTTATATGTATCACACTATATATGATAACTGTACTTATATGTATCACACTATATATGATAACTGTACTTATATGTATCACACTATATATGATAACTGTTCTTATATGCATCATACTATGTATGATAATTGTACTTATGTGTAACTGTGTCTAAATAAATTTATTTGTACTAGTGTTAGCATAATGTCTTTATTCAACAACGTATCACTATCACATATCATTTTTACCCAATTCTTTGCATTTATTTTGTCCATTATATTGTTTTCTAAATGGATGAAAGTAAAAAATACACAACTGCTGACTTTCGTAAACTTTTTAAATAAAAAAAAGGAAATTATGCCCTTTTGACAAACTGGTTTGCATACAAAAATGTTACAAATCTGCTTATTACTTATTTTCATTTGGTATCAGAAGCACTCTTAATATTACTGATTAATAATATATTTGTGGAAAATAAATTCCCATAATTATACTGTATATTTTTTTATAATGTAAATATATATGATTAATGCATTACTGTTGTTCTAAATTGTATTTTGAATAGAACCAAGAGTTCCCTCTGCGCCTGCGCGGATGTGCGGGGGAAGAGGTCGACACAGGGCATGGAGGCGGCGGGAGTGTTTTGAATGTAGTGTAGAGGCTGTGAAAACATGGGACCAGGAAATTGGCGTTCACGGCAGCCTAAGGATTAATATAGGCCTCACTTCATAACAGGAAGTGTCGTAACTGTTCCTGGTGAAGAGTGAAGGAACGTGATTTATGGGACCACCGTAATAAAGTGGTAAAATGAGTGAATAATGGTAGGACCGGTGGTGACTGGCACATCGCCGTGGACTGTGTCCCGGGGAAAAATACCCGTGGTTTAATCATCACTCATCGGTCTCAGATCTTAATGGAGTGGCCTCCAATGTGTATAATAATTAGGAGACATTAAACCGTATGGTGGGCTAAGAAGTAATCAGTGATAATAACACCAAGTCAAGAGAATGTGTGAAGTGAAATGAGTCGCCATTCTCAGAGTGAGCATCTGTTTATCTCGTGTTCCTGTCTCGAGGATAGTAAAGTTTTTATGGAGTCACGACTTCTAAACTGGGACAAACCAACAGATACCTCGTCCTGCTGGAATAAGAACCATGTCGGTGTAGCAGAACATCGAAATGTGATGGTGAATGGAGGAAATAAGGAGCATCAATCACCCACAGTTAAGTAACCCTTCTAGTTATAGCAGACTGATACTGGCCAGTTAGGTATGTTGTAATTGGATAGGTTATGGGTGATCCAGCTACTTCAAGTGACCACCAGAGAATATCTGGTAAGTGGTGGGATTATGTACAAGTGTTTTTCCTTGATGGATATATCCATGTGTAACCTACCCCCCCCCCCTTCATTCAGTTAAACTAATATAATCTATACAGTCCACAATTAATTAGTAGCGCCGTACTTGAGGGTGCTATCCAATTTATACTGGTCTCGGACAGATATGGATAAGATTGTGAGGGTCGAGGGGCCACCTGCAGTGACCAGAGGTGGTTAAGTTTTCTCACATGTCTACACGGGTGACTACGGTAAACAATATAGTTGTTGTCTCCCAGTGAGATTACTCGTATGCATGTAATGTTGAGGTACGTACAGATAACACCCCTAGAAAATTTTCCATAATATTAAAACTCCCCTGGGGTCTGGGAGGCCACCAGTTGCATTACATGGAGGGGAAAGATAACTCAACTTCCTAGGATCAAGAGACCCTCTCCGGCGTCAGGGCACCTTCATTCAGAAGACTACCTTCTGTAAAATAATTATATATTGTCCTGAAATAAATGGTAATTATTATGGAATCCATAAACAAAACGTAAATCTTACTTCGTTGTTGTTGTTGTTGTTGTTGTGGATTTTGAGGGTCACCACAACTCACGCCGTATTGACACTTCTTCTCATATTTTATAATAATAATAATAATCATAATAATAATAATAATAATAATTATAATAATAATAATAATAATAATAATAAAATAATAATAATATCTTTATTTCTACAAGTACATGGCACCCCTCAAGGAAGGTTCCTTGATGTTGGTGAGGGGCTCTTGATTTAGGGAATTGGATCTGTGCTCCAGTTCCCCGAATTAAGCCTGAATGCCTTCCACATCCCCCCCCAGGCGCTGTATAATCCTCCGGGTTTAGCGCTTACCCCTTGATTATAATAATAATAATACAAGTACATGTACAAGGTGTACAGGGAATAAATGACACCCAAAACTTGATGGGAATCTGGAAGATAACAGGGTTTTCCCCTCGACCGTAGAAAGGGAAGCAAAACGCTGCCAATATTATGGTCAGGTAGAGCCACTAACTAATCATGGGAAGCGCTAAACCCGTAGGGATTATACAGTGCCTATGGGGGGGGGATGGAAGGTATTCAGACTCAATTTGGGGAATCGGAACACAAATCAAGTTCCCCAGATCAAGAGCCCCTCACCAGCGTCAAGGAACCTTCCCTGAGGGGCAGGTAGAGCCACTAACGTTTAAATCTCAGCAGTGCCAGTGGCACCCACACAACTGAGTAAGCAAGTGGCTTCTTCTAGGCTGTAGAAATCTTCAGAGAAAAAACATATACGAATTGTACACAATAACCCGCGCGTAAGAGATAACGTAAGATTTGTTCGGATTTTTAGTTAGTTTAATTTATTTATTTATTTATTTATTTATAATTTGAGCACACTTACAGAGGTACAAAAAAAAAAAATACAGATAAGAGCAGCATGCCAAAGCCACTTATACTATGCATAGCATTACGGGCTGGCTTAAAATTAACTTAAGATTAACTAAGCAATGATGAAATCAGTGAAAAACATTAATGTAAACTGATTACTATAAAGCACAAGTGAGTATTACAAAGACAGGTCATATGGTTGCATGCATTGTTGTAAATTCAGTAGAATGGAGTATTCTGTTAGGTAGTGAATTTAAAAAATAATAAAGTTAGATTGGGTTTTAGGTTTAACATTTATGTGATATAATTGTGAGAAACATTTAAGATATACAATTTATAAGGTTCAGTTATTCAGTATTTATTTGGTTTTGGTGAGTAAGTGATCTTTGAGAAGAGACTTGAATTTATAAACAGGTAGTGTTTCTTTTATATTAACAGGTAATGAATTCCAGATTTTAGGGCCTTTTATGTGCATTGAGTTTTTGCATAGCGTGAGATGGACACGAGGAATATCAAAGAGTGATCTGTGCCTTGTGTTATGGTCATGTGTTCTGTTGAGGTTGGCAAGGAGATGTTTGAGGGGAGGGTTAATATCAGAGTTGAGTGTTCTATGTATGTAATAGGTGCAGTAATAAGTATGGATGTTTTGTATGGTGAGTAGGTTGAGTGTATTGAATATTGGTGGAGTGTGCTGCCTGTAGTGAGAATTTGTTATCATTCTAACTGCAGCCTTTTGTTGGGTAATTAGTGGTCTGAGATGGTTACTTGTTGTTGAGCCCCATGCACAAATTCCATAGGTGAGATAGGGGTAAATAAGAGAGTGATATAGGGCCAGGAGGGCTGACTGTGGAGCATAGTACCGTATCTTCGATAGTATGCCTACAGTCTTGGAAATTTTCTTAGAAATTTGTTGTATATGTGTATGAAATTTGAGTCTATTATCAAGGTGGATTCCTAAGAATTTTCCCTCTGTTAGCTTTGTGATAGGTGATCCGTTTATCATTATGTAAGAGGGACATCTGTAGCTCTGTTACCAACTGAATGAAGTAGGTTTTGTCAATGTTTAGTGTAAGTTTGTTAGTACTCATCCAGGTAGATATTTCTGTAATTCGGTATTTACAGTATTGGCTAGCTTGACTGGGCTCGGGTGGGAGAAGACGTATGTTGTGTCATCAGCAAATAGTGTGGGTTTGAGTAATTGAGAAGCATTTGGTAGGTCATTTATGTATAGGAGAAAGAGAAGAGGGCCAAGGACACTTCCCTGTGGGACACCAACTGTAATTGGTTGTGCAGAAGAGTTTGCCCCATTTGCGTACACATATTGGCTTCTGTTGCTGAGGTATGACTTGAGGTAGTTGAGGGAGTGCCCTCTTTAACCATAGTGTGATAATTTTACGTGGAGCAAGTCATGGTCAACTGTATCAAAAGCTTTACGTAAGTCAATGAAGATCCCCAGTGGGACTTCTTTTTTCTCTATTGCAGTGTATATATGTTCTAGCATGTGTATAATAGCATCATTAGTATTTTTATTAGGCCTGAATCCAAATTGGCAGGGGTTGAGTATGTTTTGGGAGATAAGGTAGGAGTAGATTCGTTTATGAATTAATTTTTCGAAGATTTTTGAGAGAGGGTGTAAGTTGGATATTGGCCTATAGTTATTCAACTCTGTTTGGTCTCCTCCTTTGTGGATCGGGTGGACCCTTGCTATTTTGAGTACTGTAGGGAAGGTGGAGGATTCAATGGATTTGTTAAAGAGTGTTGCAATGATTGGTGATAGCACTTGTGACACTTTTTTGTATATAAAGGGTTTATGTTTATTATGCACCCCATACCCATCCTGTGGGCGGTAGTCAAAAGATTACAGAGGTACATAATGGGTCCAGGGACTGGGCCTCAAAGTTTTGATAGCTGAGCAAGTTACAGAGGTAATGAATTCACAATTTACAAAGGTAATGAACTCACAATTTACAAAGGTAATGAACTCCAGGTAGGTCTAGTCACAATCATGACAAGTTACAAAGGTATTTACAGATTACAGAGGTACACAATGGGTCCAGGGACCGGGCCCCAAAGTTTTGATGGATTTTTAGCCCAGAGGGTTAGCTACCCAAGATGACCCAATCCAGGCAGTGCGTCATCGAGAACTCTCTTGTCTTATTTTCAGTGGGGTCTTTAATCTTGTCGACTAACACCCAGGTGCCTACTTACTGGTAGATGAACATGGACAGCAGGCGTAAATAAACTCGCCCAACGTTTCCAGCCATGCTGGGGATTGATCCACGGACACTGAGGCGAGTGCGTTGCCAACCGAGCCACTGAACACCACCTACATTTTTACAGCAAGTAACCCACAGCGATCAAATCAGGACACAAACTCTTGTTCCCTGTTGCCAACCATGATGTATTTAACATAGTAAACGCTTGTTACAAATAAATGTTTTATTAAAGGTATCCGGTAGCTCAAGTGCTAGCGCACTCAGCTCACACACTGAGGTCCAGGGGTCAATCACTGGTACAGGTGGAAACATTTGGACGTGTTTCCTTAAAGCACCTGCTAGAATAGATACCTGGGTGTTAGTCGACTGGTGAGGGTTGCATCCTGGGGACAAAATTGACCTAATTTGCCCGAAATGCTATGCATAATAAACGGCTTTCTGTATAGCGGTATGTCATTGATGTTAGCTAGGCCTGTGTACCTTGTACATGTACTTGTAGAAGTAGATTATTATTATTATTATTATTATTATTATTATTATTATTATTATTTTAGGTTCTTTTCAGAAGAGCTGCTACCAACTTCTGGCAATCATCCAGCTGTGGTGTTACCTTGTAGCTCTCGTCAGTGCTACAACAGCTGTTGTTCTGTAAGATTATTCCTGCAAGCTTGCTCCATGCGTGAATGTGGTTTCACCAAATTCTTCCCTTCAGTTCATGAATACTACTGAAATTCCTGATAGATGTTACACACGGAAAGCATGCAAGTACTGTAGCTCTTAGAAAACATGCTGATTTGAGTATCAGACAGATCGCCGAAAATTTGAGCCTAGAAAAGTCAGCTGTTAGTCGCATTCTAAAGAGCTGAACTACACTGGTGATTGTTGAGCGCTGCGTCCAGGAAGATGTGAAAGAAAACGCAAGACAACGCCTCATGATGACAAGGTCAGCATAAGAAATAATGTGAAGGATCTCAAGAAAACCAGCAAAGATCTGCAGAGAGATTTGGCTTCGGATGGCGTAAATGTTGATTCTTCTATTCTTAAATGAAGGCTCCTTGAAGTTGGCAGAATTGCCAGAAAGCCTGTAAAGAAACAGTTATTGACTGCTGCTATGAAGAAATAACAGCTGCAGTGGGCACTCGATCATAAGGGATGGATGACAGATGAATGGAGAACAACTATATTTTCAGATGAGGCACATTCTGAAGTACATGGGTACAGATCAGTGGTAGTGAGACGGAGCAAAAGCGAAGCTCTTCAAAATGGACACATTCAACAAGCGCCAAAACACCCAACTATGATGTTTTGGGGTAGTTTTACCGCTAAAAACCCTGGACGGCTTGTTATTGATGAGGGAACGATGAACAGTGACAAATACAAAGCAATCTTAGCAACTCATTTTGCTTCCCTTGTGGATAGAGACTTTCCTGACGGAGAAAGCATTTTCCGGCAGGCTCTTACTCCATGCCACACTTCCAGAAAAATGCTGACATTCTTCGGAGAGAGTGGGCTAAGAGTTCTAAATTGGCCTGGAAACTCTGACCTCAGCCCAACTGAGAATCTATGGAAAAGAACCAAACGCAGGATGGCAAAACATGATGGTTCAACAATGAAGAAGCTAACTGCT